CCTACCCCCCACGAGCACCTACCCCCCACGAGCACCTAACCCCCATCAGTACCTAGCCCCCACGAGCACCTACCCCCCACGAGCACCTACCCCCCACGAGAACCTAGCCCCCAAGAGCACCTAACCCCCATCAGTACCTAACCCCCACGAGCACCTACCCCCCACGAGCACCTACCCCCCACGAGCACCTACCCCCCACGAGCACCTACCCCCCACGAGCACCTACCCCCCACGAGCACCTAGCCCCCACGAGCACCTACCCCCCACGAGCACCTACCCCCCACGAGCACCTAACCCCCATCAGTACCTACCCCCCACGAGCACCTAGCCCCCACGAGCACCTACCCCCCACGAGCACCTACCCCCCACGTGCACCTACCCCCCACGAGCACCTACCCGCCACGAGCACCTAGCCCCCACGAGCACCTACCCCCCCCCCCCCCCCCCCCCACGAGCACCTACCCCCCACGAGCACCTACCCCCCACGAGCACCTACCCCCCACGAACACCTAACCCCCACGAACACCTACCCCCCACGAGCACCTACCCCCCACAAGCACCTATCCCCCCCCCCCCCCCCCCCACGAGCACCTAACCCCCAAGAGCACCTAACCCCAACGAGCACCTACCCCCCACGAGTACCTACCCCGACGAGCACCTATCCCCCACGAGCACCTACCCCCCACGAGCACCTATCCCCCACGAGCACCTACCCCCCACGAGCACCTACCCCCCACGAGCACCTAGCCCCCACGAGCACCTAACCCCCATCAGTACCTACCCCCCACGAGCACCTAGCGCCCACGAGCACCTACCCCCCACGAGCACCTACCCCCCACGAGCACCTACCCCCCACGAGCACCTAACCCCCACGAGCACCTATCCCCCACGAGCACCTAACCCCCTTCAGTACCTACCCCCCAAGAGCACCTACCCCCCACGAGCACCTAACCCCCACCAGTACCTAGCCCCCGCGAGCACCTACCCCCCACGAGCACCTACCCCCCCCCCCCCCCCCACGAGCACCTACCCCCCACGAGCACCTAGCCCCCAAGAGCACCTAACCCCATCAGTACCTAACCCCCACAAGCACCTACCCCCCACGAGCACCTACCCCCCCACGAGCACCTACCCCCCACGAGCACCTAACCCCCAAGAGCACCTAACCCCAACGAGCACCTACCCCCCACGAGCACCTACCCCGACGAGCACCTATCCCCCACGAGCACCTACCCCCCACGAGCACCTATCCCCCACGAGCACCTACCCCCCACGAGCACCTAGCCCCCACGAGCACCTAACCCCCATCAGTACCTACCCCCTACGAGCACCTAGCCCCCACGAGCACCTACCCCCCACGAGCACCTACCCCCCACGAGCACCTACCCCCCACGGGCACCTAGCCCCCACGAGCACCTACCCCCCACAAGCACCTACCCCCCACGAGCACCTACCCCCCACGAGCACCTACCCCCCACGAGCACCTACCCCCCACGAGCACCTAATCCCCAAGAGCACCTAACCCCCATGAGCACCTAACCCCCACGAGCACCTAACCCCCACGAGCACCTAACCCCCAAGAGCACCTAACCCCCACGAGCACCTAACCCCCATCAGCACCTAACCCCCAAGAGCACCTAACCCCCACGAGCACCTAACCCCCACGAGCACCTACCCCCCACGAGCACCTGCCCCCACAAGCACCTACCCCCCACGAGCACCTAACCCCCACGAGCACCTAACCCCCTTCAGTACCTACCCCCCAAGAGCACCTACCCCCCACGAGCACCTACCCCCCACGAGCACCTAACCCCCACGAGCACCTACCCCCCATGAGCACCTAACCCCCACGAGCACGTATCCCCCACGAGCACCTAACCCCCTTCAGTACCTACCCCCCACGAGCACCTACCCCCCACGAGCACCTAACCCCCATCAGTACCTAGCCCCCACGAGCACCTACCCCCCACGAGCACCTACCCCCCACGAGAACCTAGCCCCCAAGAGCACCTAACCCCCATCAGTACCTAACCCCCACGAGCACCTACCCCCCACGAGCACCTACCCCCCACGAGCACCTACCCCCCACGAGCACCTACCCCCCACGAGCACCTACCCCCCACGAGCACCTAGCCCCCACGAGCACCTACCCCCCACGAGCACCTACCCCCCACGAGCACCTAACCCCCATCAGTACCTACCCCCCACGAGCACCTAGCCCCCACGAGCACCTACCCCCCACGAGCACCTACCCCCCACGTGCACCTACCCCCCACGAGCACCTACCCGCCACGAGCACCTAGCCCCCACGAGCACCTACCCCCCCCCCCCCCCCCCCCCCCCCCACAAGCACCTACCCCCCACGAGCACCTACCCCCCACGAGCACCTACCCCCCACGAACACCTAACCCCCACGAACACCTACCCCCCACGAGCACCTACCCCCCACAAGCACCTATCCCCCCCCCCCCCCCCCCACGAGCACCTAACCCCCAAGAGCACCTAACCCCAACGAGCACCTACCCCCCACGAGTACCTACCCCGACGAGCACCTATCCCCCACGAGCACCTACCCCCCACGAGCACCTATCCCCCACGAGCACCTACCCCCCACGAGCACCTACCCCCCACGAGCACCTAGCCCCCACGAGCACCTAACCCCCATCAGTACCTACCCCCCACGAGCACCTAGCGCCCACGAGCACCTACCCCCCACGAGCACCTACCCCCCACGAGCACCTACCCCCCACGAGCACCTAACCCCCACGAGCACCTATCCCCCACGAGCACCTAACCCCCTTCAGTACCTACCCCCCAAGAGCACCTACCCCCCACGAGCACCTAACCCCCACCAGTACCTAGCCCCCGCGAGCACCTACCCCCCACGAGCACCTACCCCCCCCCCCCCCCACGAGCACCTACCCCCCACGAGCACCTAGCCCCCAAGAGCACCTAACCCCATCAGTACCTAACCCCCACAAGCACCTACCCCCCACGAGCACCTACCCCCCCCACGAGCACCTACCCCCCACGAGCACCTAACCCCCAAGAGCACCTAACCCCAACGAGCACCTACCCCCCACGAGCACCTACCCCGACGAGCACCTATCCCCCACGAGCACCTACCCCCCACGAGCACCTATCCCCCACGAGCACCTACCCCCCACGAGCACCTAGCCCCCACGAGCACCTAACCCCCATCAGTACCTACCCCCTACGAGCACCTAGCCCCCACGAGCACCTACCCCCCACGAGCACCTACCCCCCACGAGCACCTACCCCCCACGGGCACCTAGCCCCCACGAGCACCTACCCCCCACAAGCACCTACCCCCCACGAGCACCTACCCCCCACGAGCACCTACCCCCCACGAGCACCTACCCCCCACGAGCACCTAATCCCCAAGAGCACCTAACCCCCATGAGCACCTAACCCCCACGAGCACCTAACCCCCACGAGCACCTAACCCCCAAGAGCACCTAACCCCCACGAGCACCTAACCCCCATCAGCACCTAACCCCCAAGAGCACCTAACCCCCACGAGCACCTAACCCCCACGAGCACCTACCCCCCACGAGCACCTGCCCCCACAAGCACCTACCCCCCACGAGCACCTAACCCCCACGAGCACCTAACCCCCTTCAGTACCTACCCCCCAAGAGCACCTACCCCCCACGAGCACCTACCCCCCACGAGCACCTAACCCCCACGAGCACCTACCCCCCATGAGCACCTAACCCCCATCAGTACCTATCCCCACGAGCACCTACCCACCACGAGCACCTACCCCCCACGAGCACCTACCCCCCACGAGCACCTACCCACCACGAGCACCTACCCCCCACGAGCACCTACCCCCCACGAGCACCTAACCCCCATGAGCACCTACCCCCCACGAGCACCTACCCCCTCGCGAGCACCTACCCCCTCGCGAGCACCTACCCCCCACGAGCACCTAACCCCCACCAGCACCTACCCCCCCATGAGCACCTAACCACCACGAGCACCTAACCCCCTATGGGCACCTTACCCCCATGAGCACCTACCCCCCCCCCCCCCACGAGCACCTAACCCCCATCAGCACCTAACCCCCAAGAGCACCTAACCCCCACGAGCACCTAACCCCCACGAGCACCTACCCCCCACGAGCACCTACCCCCCACGAGCACCTGCCCCCCACGAGCACCTACCCCCCCCCCCCCCCCCACGAGCACCTAACCCCCACGAGCACCTAACCCCCTTCAGTACCTACCCCCCAAGAGCACCTACCCCCCCACGAGCACCTACTCCCCACGAGCACCTAACCCCCACGAGCACATAACCCCCCACGAGCACCTAACCCCCATCAGTACCTATCCCCACGAGCACCTACCCACCACGAGCACCTACCCCCCCCCCCCCCCCCCACGAACACCTACCCCCCACGAGCACCTACCCACCACGAGCACCTACCCCCCACGAGCATCTAACCCCCATGAGCACCTACCCCCCACGAGCACCTACCCCCCCGTGAGCACCTACCCCCCACGAGCACCTACCCCCCACGAGCACCTACCCCCCATGAGCAGCTACCCCCCCCCCCCCCCCCCCACGAGCACCTACCCCCCACGAGCACCTACCCCCCTCGAGCACCTACCCCCCACGAGCACCAACCCCCCATGAGCACCTACCCCCCCCCCCCCCCCCCCCACGAGCACCTAGCCCCCACGAGCACCTACCCCCCACGAGCACCTAGCCCCCACGAGCACCTACCCCCCACGAGCACCTACCCCCCACGAGCACCTACCCCCCATGAGTGTGCGTCACCACTATCAGTGCTGTCCCGACAGAATTTCAAATTGACTTCATCTTTATGATGCAGTGTGTGCGGGGTACACGTATTTTCGGACGTACAGTATCCTGGACCAGTGGTGGATGCCATTCCTGCCCTGCAATGGCAAACAGATCTACTCCCTTACTGGAACTCACCCAATTAATATGCTGTGCCTGCTGGTGTGTAGAATGTGTCACAATCGCTCAAAGAAGCAAGCTCAGACAATGTATGCCGGACAGCTCGCCTTCTCTGTGCTTTATCCTGCTGTACTCCATCGCTGATTGAGCAGCTGAGAGAGGAGGTAAGTCACTAAGTGTAGACCGGGTCGGGTGTGTATTGTTGCATACTCAACTGTCATCATTTGCTGAAAAAGAGAAAAGTGGTAGAGTAGCAGCAAGAGAGAGATCATGAGAATGTGTGTTTGCAATGTGCCTTGAAGCCGCTTTCCTTTACACATGATGCAGGTACACTCATACCTCTCTTATCCGGGCGCTTCGGGACCGGACACTGCCCGTAACTTCGAGGGTGCCCGTAACTCCGAATCATATACATCTTGATGGGGAAAAGGCCATCGATATGGCATATGACGTCAATATTTCTACGAAAAGTGACAAAAGAGTAGTAATATTTCCCCTGAAACTCGCCCAAATAGTGCCCGGTAGACCGAAGTGCCCGTAACTTCGAAGTCCGGATAACCGAGGTATGAGTGTATTGGAATCGACGCAGGCCTGTATCAATCTACACGTACATGTATGTGTCAAACCTGAGCGGTCCAGGATGCGTGCATAGAAGCACATTTTCCCGCTGCGGTTTTGTCTGCAAAGCCGTACAGCAGGCTTGAAGCAGTAGTTGCACTCAGCACAGCGACGAACGCAGCACGGATGACTAGCGCACAGTATTCACTCAGGCGTAGAAGGCGACACAGCAGGAATGAACACTTGTGGCTTGAAGGACTGCTCGCATTCGGAAATAGAGGCTTGGCACAGTTATACCCTTGTTTGTTCATGTACTGGCAGTTGGCAGCCTGCAGAATACTTGTGTCCCCATGCTTGGTTCGGACTTGCTCTGAAATGTGTGTTTGGCACACATGGCGTATTAGAGCTATGAGGGGAAACTTGTGCTGTCTTGATCTGCCTCCTGCCAGTGGGGTTGATCCTGAGCCAGAGCATGCCGGTCACCGATTCTTACCGCCAAGAGTGTTTGCTGTTGTGAATTCATGTTCTTTAGGCTGACCGTCGCCTATCATGGCTGACTGTGACCAATGTCCGGGACTTAATGGTCTTCTTTGTGCAAGCTGGAGTTGAAGATAAAGTTGTAAGTTGTGTTGATTTTCAGTGCATTGAGGCTGCTAATCCTTGTACCTGCAATGGCAATGCTTTCTGCTACCGTCTAGGATGCAGCTTGAAACAATGTGTTGAACGTTGTAGTCTTTCCCATAGTGATCGATAATAGATCTGGTCATGTGACGTACTGTGCGTTCTGTACTCCTGTGTGGCCCTGTCTAGATGTTCGGGGCACTGTTGAGTCAGTACGAGCGGATGGCATCACAGTCTGCGCTGGACGTGGAGGCTCTGCTATCAGTACTCTGGTCACTGGCACAGCGCGCACCCGCGGGGGTTGCCGACATCAATGAGTTCATGACCTGGTTTCTCAACGATATGGTGGCCGCTGCGTTGCAGCCACTGCAGCCCATCGGCAATGCGCACGATCTGACCTTGCTCATGCGCGCTGTACGCAATCTGGGAAAAGTGACAACGGTAAGGCCTACATCTAGACGTGTATACAGTCAACTTCGCTAAGAACGACTGCTGATATAAAGACAATTCGCGAATAACGACAGAATTTCCATGCCCAGAGCAAAGTCCCGTCTAACTGTAACACGTATGATGAGACTTCGGGTATAACGACACTTCGCGAATAAGGCCACTTTTCTGATGTCCCGCCGAGTGTCATTATACGCAAAGTTGACTGTACATGTATCAGGATTTCACCTGTATACTGTAATCATGAGATCATGCCTACTGCCAGTGTGCACTCCCAGGACCTCTGGGTTGCGACGTCTAATGAGAGCTGTTGCTTTTGCTTGCACATCTTGCTCTTGATAAATCTTGTCCTGGAAACACTCATTGCATCTACTAGTCGATCCTGTGTACGAATTTTGTGCCTTGTAGTCCAACATGAGTTTCAATGTTCACGACAGTAGTACGCACGGTCTGTGTATGCGCACTGCTCTAGTAACGCCATCAATGGGGCAGTTTAGCAAGGACACACACACTCTGAATTCAGCCAGTCAACTCAGGGCAAGATCCACTTTCGGATTTTACGCCCCAAGGTGATGTTAGATACAGTAGGTATCGGTTATAGCGTGGGTGTTTGAAAAATGACTTTCTATTCTTATTTCCGATATTTCTTACACACGATAAATCAAGTGTGACATATCATGTGCATGTGCGGAGAGGCAGGAAGATCATCGTACACGCAATGTAGTGTTACCGTGCATGCGGCTGGTTATAGTCACAAGGCTTACCATGTGGCTATGCAACATGAGTTACCTGACCACAACAGTTGAACCTGCAGCACTGCGACCCAACACGAGTCAGGTCGGAACTGCATTGGACGGGTGTTATTACTACAGGCGATATACTTTGTACTAATCTGGTATGTTTTGCTACACAAAGTCCATTTTTAGGACCGATATATTCTACTGTACGATAAAATTGCTTGTAAGAATAAATGTGCACTTGAAATCCATGTTATGATTATGAAAACATGAGAGTTCATTCTTGTAGGCAGTATATTCTTTTACACGACCACACTATAACCGATACGCACTGTACTAGGAAAATTGTTTGTGATAATGACCAAGTTATAGTGCTGTCATGACCGAGTTGTGGTGTTGTGTGCTGTTGTTTCATACGTTTGTAAAGATCACTCCAACCGTCGTAACCAGTGCGTTTGACCTGGTGGTTAGTTTCCCACACTGGGTTCAAGTTGAAGACCCTGAAGTGCTAATAACACCATTATGGGCACTCCATGTGAGTAGATACGCCTAGGTCTGCACAGTCACTGTTGCCGCAGCTGCAGCAGCTGCCGCTTCTATCACTGTTGTTGCTGCTGCTTCTGTTTCTGCTGCTGCTGCTGCTGCTGCTGCTGTTCTTCTTTCTGCTGCTGCTGCTGCTGCTGTTGCTGTTTCTGCTGCTGCTGCTGCTGCTGTTGCCGCTGCTGTTTCTGCTGCTGCTGCTGCTGCTGCTGCTGCTACTATTGTCATGTCTTTAGTGCATCTTGAATTTCTCCTCGCCACTGCTACTCATTATCCTTCTATTGGTTTCTTTAGACTAGGTGAACACGCACGAATCGAAAGAGCCACTGTACAATGAATGGTTGCCATACATATCAACACCCCTGTTTTCCCTAGGTATGATGCATCGCATGCCTGTACATGTATACACTAACAAATAGACTGCTACAGTTGAGTGAACTGAATGGCGATACAAATACATGTAGGCCATTCATCATTGTGCTGCAGTCCACATGTGCAGCTGGGTTATTCCGGGCGTTAACCACCGTCGGGAGTTCTGTTGGAAATGGAGACGAAACATTTTCTTTTATTTTCTTGCTCCGTGTGTAGTTGATAATCTGTGCGTGTACCCGGTATGTGGATCCATATTATTAACTTCATTTACCTTTTGACTTCTCCATGTGTGGAGCGTTGCAGATTTGTACATTTTACATGTATACATACACTTTCCCAGCTGCCCCTCTTCACCTTCAAGCTGGCTACAACTATATTTTAAATTCCATACGATGATATTGTCTGCTTTACAGTTGCAGGTGGCAACTCGTGACTGTGACTGCTGTTCAACCCGGCCTTAGTGAGATTGTATGGTCTTTTCTCTGTGTCTGTTTGTACGGCATTTAGCAAAATCAGCAAATGGTGTCCTTGACCCATTGTATTCGAAACATATTTGATGAGTACTTCAAGCTCTACATGTCCTGTGCACTGGAACTCAACTCGGATGCACTGATCATGTGTGCGGGCGCTATTGATAATTGCGGCATGCTCGGCAAGAGCACGAGGCAGACGGTCTTGAGCGAGGTGCTGTTACGCTTGGAGAGCGGCAACTTCAAGTGCAGCGTACCGGGACTTGTGGAGTTCGCCCGCGTCTTCCTGCATCCGTCGGACTCTTTGCGACCGGGGTCCAAACTGCAGCAGGTCAGTAGCTCTGTCTGTACTTGTAATCCTACTGTTCACTGTTGTCAGTGTGTGTGTGTGTGTGTGTGTGTGTGTGTGTGTGTGTGTGTGTGTGTGTGTGTGTGTGTGTGTGTGTGTGTGTTGCCCTACTCTGGCTTGACGTGCTTGCGTTGTTTTGCTATGTACTGTATTTGTATTCTTTATTTTACTTCGCTAAGTCAAACGGGATTGTTGCCCAATAATATGATAGCAAAGGGTACTGGTAGCACTGGTACTGGTAGCATCCTTGTCTCAGTGCTCCGTAGCTGTGAGCAGTGCTGACCGAGGAGACTGCTGTATAACCATCGCTCAATAGAAGGCTCGGATAACCACTTGTACGGGTATTTGGTGCCTGCATTGTCAGAATCGTCAGCAAGAATGTCTGCAGGCACTTTGTGATTCAAAATATCGTTCACAACATTTTTTACGACCGTGTTCCATGCGCGGTTTTAGAAATGAAAAGCAGAACTCACACAAGCCAGTACCCGATTGCCTCAAACAAACGTCTGTCATATGAACAGATGTCAAGATCTGCCCGAGGCGAGTGAGCCCAACTTTCTCATGTAAACGGACCCTAACTTTTTAGTGCCTGCATGCGTTTGTCACACATGTTTTAATGTACGCTATCGTGTTGAGTGTGCACAGTGTTCATTGTGGCAATTATCTGCTGACATGGACTTCAGAAATGCATGCTCTGACTGTATAGGAATGTGTCATACATCGTAGTGTGCAGGCAGCGCCCATTAGACTGAAAAACGTACAAGTTAGTATAGGAAAGCAACTTTTAAAAGCTACGAATTCATGCCGCTGATGAAAGGTTTCCTGACACGTAGGGAATGAGAGTCACGGGTGTTTTGCTTTGTGACAACAGCATCACTTCGTTGCCTTATATACATATTGTATCTTATACATGGATATGTTTTGCTGTTTGCTTTGATTTTTGACTGCATTGTGATTGAATATGCTGACAATGCATGCTGTCTCTGTGTTGTGTTGCGCTTGTGGAGAGCAAGGCTCAACGTCTATGGGATTGCCTTAGGGACAAGCTGTCATCGGGCCTTTTGAGCAGACACCTTTTTTTTGTTTCCATGTGCGTGGGTGTGTGGGGCGTGCATGTGTTTACTTGTGCATGCAGGCATGTCTATAGGAGTATTCTAGAGATCTCACACTTGTTGCATGTTCTTCTTCTTTCTTTCTTTTGCTCCATTCAGGCGTGTGACTTCTTCTTTGACCAGGTGGCAATGGCCGAGCTCTCACCACTTCAGCTGACCAGAATACGCCGCTGGTTACTGGGTGTGCCGGGTAGCACTGATTTCTTTGAGCAGATGACACTGCCTCTGCGCACCTACTGGAACATGACAGTCAGTGAGTTACTGGCAGAAGCGGAGCTGCTGGAGCAGTCTGACCTGACCACCACCTTCTCCAGCATCGTGAGTTGTGAGCTATGTTGTGTGCAGTGGTGCCGCTGCATGTCGTGTTCCTCATTCACCTTCTCCACTCGCATTGTACCGTACTATGTCACTTGTACACGGCGTATGTGAACTGCTACGGCCCATTCTCCTGCACTGTGAGGCTAAATACGTGGAAGATTGCTCTGATTCAAGAGTGCTTGCTTATCTACTGGCTTTGTACTGGTGCATGTAGTATCATGCTATGTGCATTCCTGTGTTGAAAGTGAATGGATGACATACTGACTCGAGTATGCATGTGATCTCGGTGGTGTGGCATGCCATCTTCTGTTGCCAAGTACTCTCGTCGGTGAACATTCTTCACGGTGAACTGCTAGTTTGTATTGCGTATGCTTATGATCCTCTGCTGTGTAGTTCTTCCCTGCTGTGCATCGGTGTCGCCATGACGTCACTTCAGCGGAACTGCCACGGGTTGTGGAAGTCCTGTGGAAGCAATTGAGAACACTGGAGGGTACAAGGGAACTTCTGGCCGACGTCATTGAGGATTATGTATCTCGCACTCCTCCAGAGGACCTCTTGGATATGTTTTGTACGTCATTGGAACCCCTCCAACGTGCAGCTAAGGTTAGTTTAGATTGTCGCCATATTCCACCAAGCGTAGCATACCGCATGTAGGAGTTTCCCATGCTGTGCTGTGCTGTGCTGTGCAGTACATACACCCTGCTGTGCGCCAACATTGAAGCTGCTGCAGGCAAAAGTTACGTTAGACGATGATTGTGTAGTTTAGGCATAGTAGCATAGTACGTAAATGTAGCAGTGGATAATATGTAAGAATGTAGCAGTGGATAATATGTAAGAAGTAAAGTAATGCTTGCCATCGCCATGCCTTGAATACGTGTAGGTGGCAAATGCGGTGCCTAGCGGCATGCATCCCAAAACAGGTTGATAGGTCACAGCCTAGGTACACATAGGTCACAACCTAAGTACACATAAGGAGTACCGGTATTACTTGTAGGGGTCTTTGTGGTCCACTTTCACGACAATAACACACACAGAAGTCTCTGCTGTGAGCACGGTGGCTCGGCAATGGCTTTATTTATTGATATTATATCCTCTTCCTGATTTAAAAAAAATAATAATAATTGGATGCATAGAGATAAGAAAAATAAGCACAAGATACTGCTGCTAGTCGCACAGCAAAGCACACAGAAAACGACAAGATGTTACAATGAATGTAACAACACCCGTCCAAGCTAAAGGACCTACATCCCTGCCCCAGGACGGTATCTTGAAAAACCCCACACACTCACCACACGGTCATCATCCAGCTTCAGTTCAATCACAATACAGTAGTATTCTTCCCATGCAGATTCAATTGAACTCCCCTGGCTGGCACTAGCCATACAATCTGAAGCTGTACGTAACCAAACAAAGGCCCGCGACGCACACACCACCCCTAGGTTTTTTTTTTTTTTTTAATAGCTAAAAAAGAAAAGCAGTCGTAACTGCCACAGCCACATGGCCAATAAGATAATATCGAAAAACCCACACCCAGAAGTCAGGGGTGGGAGGGTGGGATACAAACTGCACCAACAAAAAGCCACTGCGAAGTGACAGGAATGCGGTCAAGCACAACATTTTTGCTGAAGCAAAAAGTTGCAGAGAAATCCCAAAATCAGTGCGATTTTTCATGAGCCCCAAATGTTCAAATTACCCACAAAGACACAAGCTTTCCAACTCTCTTTGGCCGTTGGAAAGCGTACCTTAACTGCCCATTCACATTTGGGAGCACTCTTGAACATTTCAGGTGCAGTGTGGGTGCTACCAAGAGTACATAACCCAAGAGTGTGCAACTGCCTGCACAACCTCTATGCTGTGCTGCGACGGCAGAACTTCACATCACGTGACATGGTTCAAAAGGTTATGCTGGCAAACAGTGCAAAGTGACCACAAGAGAGTTGTACCCAAAGCTGGGCTGCGTACAACCCAGTATCTATCATGCACTAGAGTGCACGGGTTCATCACGTGATGTGAAGTTCTGCCGTCGCAGACCCCATACTCAGGGCCATAGCTGGAGTTGCACACTCTTGTTTATCTACTCTTGGTGCTACATATCATGTGATGTGTACGAGTACTTTAGGGCACGTTTGATTGGTCGGATCCGAAACAGGATCGTTTAGAACAGGGGCGTTTGATTGGTCTGCACTGGCTTTGGAGTGTTTGGAACATGTTTTGACCACTCCGACCCCAAGGCTGGAGCAGCCAGAGCAAGTCGCAAAGCCCAATGAAAACCTGACAGGGCTACGCAATGACTTTAGTTTTTGTTTTGATTCTACGCGATTCTGGCATGTTCAGGGATTATGTGAAGGACGTGGTGATGTACATGTACATGGAGGTCTACGTATGATTGGCACATTTCATGGTGGTCTCCACTTCCATGATTGAATTTTTGTTTGTCTTCGAAGCTTCTTCTCCGGTTGTATTAGCCTTTCAAGTTTGTTTCGCCTTCGCAACTTGAGCAACGTAAAAGTTTAAAACATCTTTGAACTCTGTGGAAATTTTGAAGTTCGCAGCACAATGAGCTATCATGAGTTCTACACCATTTCTGGCAAACATATTCGCTGTTCTGTTTGATTGGGAACTGTTCTTCTGGCTGCTCCCGCGAATGTGATCTGAATCCGGATTGCCCAATCAAACATGCCCTTAGTCCTTACTGTTTTTGAAACTAGTCGAAGTACAAGTACAAGTAGTAGAAGTTGTATGTAACACATGCAATATGAAGAGTGTGCAACTGCTGATACCCTTTCTATGGGGTCCGCCGGTGACGAAAACTCACATCACATGGTGTACGTAGTGTTCACTTGGTACGTTCCCTTATTTGATCTTGGTAATAACAAGAGTACGTAGGCTCCCAAGAGCGTGCAGCTCTGGATACCCTTTCTATGGGGTCCGCCGACTGCAAAAACTCACATCAAGCGGTGCAGTGTTCCTGTCGTTCATTCACAGTCCATCTTAGCGACCAATGGAGCAGTAAAAGCACCGCTCCCTGACAGAAACCCACTAAACTTGTACGAGTTATCAACACAATCGCGGCAGATATTCGGACTGCCCGCACGCTAACTTTCGTTGTACGTAGTAGAAAATTTACTACATACAACGAAGGTTACCGTGTGTTTCAAGTACGATTTTTGCTATTAATCGTACTTGGAACACTTGATGTGAGGTTTTGCCGTCGGAGACCCCATAATGCAGAGCTGCGCACTCTTGGGAGCTTATTTACTCTTGGTAGTATGTTGTATGCATGGCTGCAGGGGCTGCACGCTGTATGCTGCAGCTCCTTATGGCAAGTGTCAGGGTTTCGTTGCCAGAACTGTATGTCAAGAAGTGTTGTTCTCGCTCTTCTTACCTTGACTTCTGCATTCATTGCATTGCGTCACGTTAGGATGGTGCTCCGCTGGATTTGCTTATTAGCCACGCCAGGGAAGAGGCATATGCACAGCTGGTCTTGAAGGTCGATTTCATCGATCTCAAGCTGGTCGCGTTTCTCGCGGAGTACGACGCAACACCCAACTTCATTCTCATCAAGCTGTACATTGAGCGCCTGCGGAATGATCCACTTCTGCTGCGGTCCATTGACCTTATGGACCTGCCATTGCTGTTGAAAATTGCCTGGTGAGTCAACCATACAGGGAAGTATGAACGCTGTGTAATTGTGCATGCTGCTGAGTTTATCTTCTTCTCCATCCACACAGTCCTTGGTTACGCCAGCACAACAACACTGTGTTCTAACATGGTGAACTTTCACCACGAAAGCATCATCAAGCACATGGAAAAGGTCCTTTGAAAACTCCAACACACACTAAGAAGAATAAGAACGTTAAGAAAAGCAATCCTGTCAACTTTTCTAATTGTGGTTGATAAGAGTGCCAGTCTTGTCGAGCACGCAACACACGTTTTACCTTGCTGAGAAATTGTCAATCTATGAACGCCAATGTGACGATGGTAGAGCAGTGATGTGTGTGGTGTGTGTGTGTGTGTGTGTGTGTGTGTGTGTGTGTGTGTGTGTGTGTGTGTGTGTGCATGTGTGTGTTTGCGTGTGTGTGTGTGTGTGTGTGTGCGTGTGTGTGCGTGTGTGTGTGTGTGTGTGTGTGTATGTGTGTGCGCGCGTGTGGGTGTGGGTGTACTGTGGGTGTACTGTGGGTGAAGTACTGGCCAGAAAAAGACACTTCATAGCTGTGTGGTGTAGACCATGCTGAATAGTGGCGGTCAATTCTTCAGTCTTGCAAGCTGTTGAATGGTGCAATCCCAGCACAAGCTGCTATGGCTTCTGCTGTAGCATCGCTATCATCGCCTCCGGCGATAGGCGTCAAAAGGTCCAAAAAATGGATCTGTACTAAATACAGTAAAACTCGGATATGACGAACTCGGGCGAAGACAAATCACCATAGGATATGAATTATTTTGCTTCTATCCGCTGCGGCCCGTGTTCATCCCAATCTCCGAGTCCTTAAATACATGTACTAGTACCGTAAAGTACCGCCAGAGCGCCCCACCATCTCGTCCTTTCGTGGTCGCCTTGTGGAGGTGTATTCCTGTCTGTAGGTCATACGACACGGACCTTGTACAAACATTGAACATTGTGCAGTCAATCCGTACCCAGTTTACCTTCGAGCGCCACATAAAAGCATACCAAGTGTGACCTTAGTACACGAAGGTTCTCACATCGTACAAACTTGGTAGCATTCTGCCATACGATCTTCTTCCCTTGGCTGTAAAATCAAGGTGGGGCGCTCTCGCGAGACGGGGCGCTCTGGCGGTACTTTACGGTACATGCACTGTAGTACATGTATAGTAAAAACCCGTCAAGGCCACCATTCGGATAAGGCAACCACCTGTCCCAGACAACCACTGCAGGCAGGATCAAGGGATACTATCCCCAGTCAAATAACCCTGGATAAGGAGACCACCTGGTAACAGAGACCACATTTTGAAGGTCCCTTGAGCGGTCGTCTTAGACAGGTTTCGCTGTAGTTCATTGAGTGTTGTTTACTGGTCTTCCATTGACTGTATTTTATTGGCGTTCAATTTTTGATTAACACCGGTTCCGCATGTGTGTGTGTGTGTGTGTGTGTGTGTGTGTGTGTGTGTGTGTGCGTGCGCGCGCGTGTGTTTGTGTGTGTGTGTGTGTGTGTGTGTATTTGTCTGTATAAGTGTGTGTGTGTGTGTGTGTTTGTGTGTGTGTGTGTAGTTTGGCTGACACGCTGTCCAAGGTCATGACTGATATCAGTGCCGGTACGCTAGATTTCCTGCTTCCGTCCATGTCTCTAGCGTTGCAGATGCATGGCACGCATCCTGTCTTCCTAGACAACCTCATGGATGTAATGGTCAATAGGCGTTACTTTCCACAGGAATTGGTTTCCCATCTTTTGACGTCCTTAGTCAACCTGTTCAAGATGCGACATGTTCATGGTATTCCAGCTGCTGACAACATTGCCAGGTTCTTCTTGTAAGTCAGTCCAGTGAGCGTTGACTTGCTGTGTGTGTGCCTAGCATGTCTAGGAACTTGCTGCTTGATCAAGATTTTGCCCTTGGTGTTCTCGCGTAGGCCACTAGCCTATTTTGTCGTTCTGTGTGTGTGTGTGTGTGTGTGTGTGTGTGTGTGTGTGTGTGTGTGTGTGTGTGTGTGTGTGTGTGCATGCGTGTGTGTGTGTATATATGCGTGTGTGTGTATGTGTGTGTGTATGTGTGTACGTGTGTTTGTATGTGCATGTGTGTGTGTGTGTGTGTGCATGTGTGTGTACATGTGTGTATATGTGTATGTGTGTGTATATGTGTATGTGTGTGTATATGTGTATGTGTGTGTATATGTGTTTCAACAGGGCAAGCAGAGTGAATGATTCGAACACCGTTCGAGCCTTCTTCCAGTTCCTTGCCACACCGCATGGTAGCTTCTATCTTCGTGCATCAGAAGGGTATGTCACTAAACAATTGAAATTTGAAATAGTCATGTTCTCATGGAAGCGGTTGATGGCGTTTGCGATGTTGTGATGGATACAATGCAACACAGTTGTGGGGATCATTCGTCATTGCTGTAATTCCTCAGTGTTTTCTTTCTCCAGTATCCACTAGTACTGGTACAGTAACACCTGCTGCTGTAACCTTTATCCTCCCATTGCTGCAAGCAAAAGCGGTCACTAAAGCCAGGTGGTCTTTAGCACCAGGTCCCACAGTGTCTGTGTAGAACTGTTGGTGCATGGAAAAACGGTCGTTAAGAGCAGGTGGTCGCTAAACGCAGAGGTCGCTTACACCAGGTTTTACCGTACATGCCTTGGTGTGCAGTGGGTTTGATTTGAGTCTGGACATGCCTTAGTGTGCAGTGGGTTCGATTTAAGTCTAGTCATACGGGCTGCAGGCAGCCTTGAATGATTGAGCTGAAGTGTACTTTCAGCATGTACTGTTGTGGGCATGGAAGTCCGGTCGCACGTCTAGCGGCCCCAGGGCGCTGGCCATGCAGCCGTGGGTAAGCAGTACACACATGCATGACCTTGTATTATATGCGCCGCAGCGTGCTGGTTGCATCAAGCGCTGTTCTGAGGGCGCTGAGGGCGCCGGCCCCGGTCAATCGACTGCATTTCCATGTCCACGATAGTGTGAGGAAAACTGAACACGAGGAACTGTGATACTTGTCCAAGCTCATTGGTGCTGTCAAAGACGTGTGCCTTGACTCTTGTTGCTGCTGCTGCTGCTGCTGCTATTGGTGTGTGCGTGTGTGTGTGTGTGCGTGTGTGTGTGTGTGTGCGTGTGTGTGTGTTCGTGTTGTCTGCTGCAATCAGGGCTTTGTTCGACTTCATTGCTGAGCTGGGAGAGCCTGAAGGAGGCGCCTTGCTGAAGCAAGTTGCACAAGACCTCGGCCTGACACAAAGCGCTAAATCAACGAGTACTTACTTGTCGCTCGTTCATGCCCTGGCTTGTCTGGACCTGAATCTCATGCTGGTCTTCAATCTTTTCTCCATGCTCTCTGCCCCGGATACCGTCAGAGAGTCAGGTATGGACATCACATGCATCTCTCGGCTCGAGATATAACCTTACTGTGCTTTGTACACGTCTGTGAACTTGACCCTAGCTCAAGCTGTGTAAAGAACGTCAGGTTTATGTGCTAAAATCAGTACATTTCCCACGTTATGTCTAAATGAGATACAGTCAACCTACCCTTATAACGATATTTCTTGGTCTGACGCAAATATCGTTATAAGGGTAGGTCGACTGTACCGATATTGCGTTTTGGGGGGGGGTGTTGTAGAAGAAGGCTCCAACGCTATGAGCAGCCACCGTCTTGTGTCGAAAATCTCTAAATCATACCAATATCGTACATATAGATGGAATGATAGCCCAGAGAAACAGCCTGTTTGTATTCTATTGACTCCACACAACTCCTGTCACTAGCAACAGCAAGGGACTTGTCGTGGAAACTTGTCCAAACTACGTGAAATGGGGTACTATTTAGGATCATTTTTCGGTCTAAGGCGGGATTCGGTGAAGCATTTTTTGCGATGGGACGCCCGCAAAAACCGGAAATTCCCGAATCGCACCCATCGCGCAGCTCACGGAACCGTCGCAAATGGTTGATCGCAGAATTTGAGGTTGGCTCACCTTTTCGCAATGCGATATGCTATGCGAAGTGCAGGTTGGCCCTTCTTTGCAGCAAAGGTCATGCATTAGGTTCAAGAGTTGTTTGTAGATGTGTACTGGTTGTACCCAGCTACGCGAATGCCATGATGTCGTGCAGCCGCCAGCATTGCGCTTTCAGGCACATCAGCATGCAAGGCCACATCGGCATGCAAGGCCACATTGCATCCGTGATCTGTGAATGGTGTTTCGCGAGTTCGCGTCGCACTTCGGCTTCATCTACCTCATTTTGTGAGTGGAGCGGGGCCAGTTTCATTTTGATAGCTGAACCATTTTATTCAAGATGTCAAGTCAATATGGGTTCCTTTTTTTCTTTTTTCGTTCAGGGTGAGTGGATGGTGAAGAGTCGTAATGACACTTTCTCGTTCCCTGGAAATCATCAATAATGCCGGATGGTCCCTAACTCACTGCCCGGCCCAACGTCCCCAATGATTATTCTAGAATGTAATAATTACAATATGTAGCTGATTTTTCACCCTTATCCGTCCGACAAAGGGGGGGGGGGGGGGGCAAATTCTCAGTCCCTGTGACATACATGTAGATTCTACTACCGCATCCCATTTTGATGGTAACTTTAGATTCTTTTTTTCTTTCTTTTTTTGCTCAGCTAAATTCCTGCGCATCGGCTCTGTGATCATGCAGAGTAATGTCTTCTCGGCTGGGCCTGACCTAGTGCACAGTCAGACACTCATGATGTCACATTTCAACAGGAAACACGCGGTATGTACATTGTGCATTGTATGCGCGTCTTGATAAATCAGGGTCGGTTTCCTAGGTGTAATTGCTTGATAGCAACCGTTATGACTGCGGATGCTGCTGCTGCTGCTACTGGTGGTGGTGGTGGTGGTGGCGGTGGTGGTGATGGTGGTGGTGAAGTGATGTTGTGTAGTAAATGGTGCTGCAGTGTGCTGCTGCCCCACCCTGCAACAGCACCCTGCAACAGCACACGGCAGCAGCAGCACCCTGCATAGAGAGGATACGTTTGGCGTGTGTCATGTGTATTGCTGGAATAGAGTGCTTGTGGAGAATGCAAGTAGGTCTGCGATTGTGGCAAGTGGAATCTGACACCTGCCATCAGGGACTGCACTCGTATAGAGCATGTACCGGTAGCCCCCTGCAGACCTGCATACCATCATCGTATCACTACAACTTATATGACTATATTGTGCCAGTACTACTGTCCTTCTGTAATCCGTAAACTGTATTTCATAGTATTTGTGTTCGTCACAAATGTGCAATATTTCAGACAGGCTTGAGAGTGCTCCGAACTATTCTATGGGCTATCTCCTGGTGTGTACTTAGGCTGTGACCTATCGACCTGTATAATATACTTACGAATTGTTTGTACAATCATGTTCTGTACAGTGGCTATGTCTGTGTAGTTGAAATCTATTCGTGGCACTGTGTGGGCCAGAATTCAAGTGTAGCAGTTCACACGCCACACCTGTATATGTGCATGCTTTCATTTCCTTCGCCTTGTTCGTATTGTCCATGTAGCTTGTCTTCGTCATGGCCAAGAGTACTTGCACTGTTGGCCAGATTGTGGACGTTGAGTGGTAGACCGCTCTTGCCCTTTGTCATCTGTGTATGTGTGTGTGTGTGTGTGTGTGTGTGTGTGTGTGTGTGCACGCGCGCATGCGCATGCGCATGTGTGTGTACAGACAATGCTGCGGAAGCGTACCTCATTGGCCAACTACTTCCCGTCTTCGATCCTGTCCACTGACAAGTATATTTGCCATGTGTCGGATTTTACCCATGCCTGGTGGATTGACGGCATCATGGCTTTGGACGGTAGGGGAAATCCCCTGACATTCAAGCAGAGTAGCTCCTCGTCAATAGGCCTGTTGAGCGTCAGCAATGTAGACTGGCCGGAAGGTACTGTAGTGAACGTGGCGCTGCTCGTTATTCCGGACAACGCCTGGTGGAAGTCGGGAAAACTCTTCGGCTCTGTTGAGCTACAGAAGATCATCATGCAGAGGCTAGGCTGGACAGTTCAACTGGTGAGTTGTGTATTGCCAGTGTGTAACTGTTACTTGCTGTGTGCTGCTTGTGTGTACGTGCTGTGTGCTGCTTGTGTGTACGTGCTGTGTGCTGCTTGTGTGGCTCGTTGTAGAGTGCACATGTGTCTAGGCGTAGCATGCACGTCTGTCCGGGTACATAGGTATATGGAGAGGGGCAGAGAAGGCCGCTTGTCACTCACATGGCTACATGTGCCACAGTTCGCATCTATCCGGGATTCCGGGTTGTGTGCATTGACTTGTCTGCCCTCTCTATTACGGAGTACTACAATGTAGGGTGAAGGGGTACATGTTCTTGAACCTGCTGCTGCCTACACAGTACACATGTTGCATGATATGGGCCAAAACAACACTCTACGTGTTATCACCAAACTCTTCTACCCGATCATCGCCAGCACTTCTTCAGCTCCCAGGACAAGTTATTGCTTTGGAAATGTGGCTGCCCTGCTGTTGTGCTACACAGCTAGCATCAAGGTAGAACACGAGAGAGTTCCCCACCACCTGCACCCGTTCATGGTCGTGTTTTTGGAGGTGGCGTGAATGAGCGAGTCCTGTTTGTTGGTCATATGACACATAATAGCTGATGTGTGTACAAGCCCGAGATCCCTATGCAGGCAGGCAGGCTGGCCAACCCGGGCTGATGTGTGTACAAGCCCGAGATCCCTATGCAGGCAGGCTGGCCAACCCGGGCTGGAGTTTCACCTATAATCACCCCCTAAGGCTAGTGGAGGGCCTTCTGTGACCCCAGTACACTCAGGTTCTTGCACTGTCACGTGTACGATCTTAGTCGTACCCAGCCATAGTCGATACGATTTCCTTTCCCTGGCTGTAAATCAAGGCGCGTATCAGGCCAGCAGTGACCAGACTTGGCCCTCATAACCCGTGCAGACAAAAGATCATGGCAACACGTGACACAAGTGACTTATCCACTAGATGCCACTGTATTGACTTAAGACGTCCCCACCTTCAACGCCTACAGACTGTAGCCTGCAGTACAGCCCCTGGCCCTGCAGCTCTGAGAAAAGGGTTCCTGGATAGACACCCACAACAGATAGTAATACCATACAGTCTTGCAACAAGACTGATCAAGTTGTGGTTATTTCTTCTTTGATGGTTGTCTTGGTTTATAGGTAAGGCCATCTTTCCTGGAACATGACGAAACAACAAGAGCCGAGAAGACACAGAGTATGCTACGGTTTTTTGAAAAGGCCACCTCGGAGATCTCTTCGCTGAAGATTCCTCCAAACCCAATTGCAGCATCAGGGAAAGCTTTTCTAAACGCACCATCACTTCCACCACGATCTGATCGTTGATAGTACAGGAACACTTCTCAATCATTCGCATGCACGCACGCGCGCGCGCGCGCGCGCGCGTGTGTGTGTGTGTGTGTGTATGTGACTGTGAGTGTGTGAGTGTGTGCCAAACTTGATAAACTACGCTACAAACAGAATGCAGTGCGTTCCTACACTGTTGCTTGTTAATTTTTTATTTCTATCTTATTTGATTATCTTCGCTGCTGTTTGTGCACCTCGTAAAGTGCACATCCAATTGAATTGCAATATCGCCGTATTTGGCTATGTTTACTTGCTTGTGCCCCTGTCGCTGCACCAAGTGTGGTCTTGCCATTCACTGTGTACATTGGCTTGGACCCATTGCACTATCGCTAAGCTGCTGTTTGCTCTGTATTTTCAACTACTTCTGCTGAATTCTAAATTTGCTTGTCCCTTTTTTATGAGAACACCGGTGAGCACCAGTGATAATAAAAATTAATGGAGATGGCCAACGTGCATGCAGTTCCCAGTCTCAGTCTGTCTGTGAAAGGTTCTAGCAAGGGTTACTCCCTGGTTTCTACTGCTTCCATGGCATGGCTATGCTCCTGTTGGAGACAATCAAGATGCAGATCACAACCACCGTGTGTGTGTGTGTGTGTGTGTGTGTGTGTGTGTGTGTGTGTGTGTGTGTGTGTGTGTGTGTGTGTGTGTGTGTGTGTGTGTGTGTGTGTGTGTGTGTGTGTGTGTGTGTGTGTGTGTGTGTGTGTGTGTGTGTGTGTGTGTGTGTGTGTGTGTGTGTGTGTGTGTGTGTGTGTGTGTGTGTGTGTGTGTGTGTGTGTGTGTGTGTGTGTGTGTGTGTGTGTGTGTGTGTGTGTGTGTGTGTGTGTGTGTGTGTGTGTGTGTGTGTGTGTGTGTGTGTGTGTGTGTGTGTGTGTGTGTGTGTGTGTGTGTGTGTGTGTGTGTGTGTGTGTGTGTGTGTGTGTGTGTGTGTGTGTGTGTGTGTGTGTGTGTGTGTGTGTGTGTGTGTGTGTGTGTGTGTGTGTGTGTGTGTGTGTGTGTGTGTGTGTGTGTGTGTGTGTGTGTGTGTGTGTGTGTGTGTGTGTGCGTGCGTGCGTGCGTGCGTGCGTGTGTGTGCGTGTGTGCATGTGTGTGTGTGCATGTGTGTGGGTGCACGTGCGTGCACGCATGCATGTGTATGTTTTTGTGTCTATGTGTGTACCGGTATGTGTGTTTTCCTTGCTTGTACATGTACCAGCAGCAAACACACTTCAAAATAGGAACAGCATACGTGCAAGACGGGTGTTTGCTTCTTTACTCGAATAAGAAGAAATAATAGTACACGGTATAAAAGCTTATGAACTGCATGGTATGATGTACAATCAGTGAGTAGGTATGATGTACAATCAGTGAGTAGGAAGCAGCTTTTAGCAGCTGCACAGAGCCAGTCTAACAGGCACAGGATAAGAGAAGACCTACGAAAGGAAAGTATACATTGAACTATCAGCGGGCAGCATAACAACAACACTACTATCAGCGTGCAGCATAACAACAACACTACTTGAAAGCAGACAGTTCATACCAAGTTTCATGTTATTCAATTTTGTGTGCAAAGTATGCTTGAAGCCTGCAAGGGCAGAAGTAGAAATGTATCAACATGTCTGCAACGCGTATTCTCACTTTGTCCATGTGACTATTGGTTTTGTCAAGTACCTATAGATTAGGCGGTGGTGGTAGATCGGCAAAAGAGGCGCTTGTGATCGAGGTGTTCCTGCCATTCAGCGTACCGTTGGACGTGGTGCTTGAAGACGAATCTCTTTTCTTGAGCAGTCTCGGCTTTGCCATTGGCAACGGTCTGGACGGCTTACGACCAAGTGCATATTCACGTGGGGCCGGCGGAGGGTTGTCCGGTATTTCACCGTAAGCGGTGTAGTTGTTTTCGTCCGGAGGCGGTGGCGGAGGCGGCAGATCGTCGGTTGATAATGGTGGTGGTGGTGGCAAGGGTGACGTTTGTTCCTCCACCAGATCTGCATCGGCGTGGAACTGAGAAGGTGCCGGAGGCGGAGGTGCCTGGCTCGCGCCTGGCATCTTGCGTGTCAGCGTAGAATACTGTGCCATCTGCTCCTGAGTAGAATACTGTGACATGGTATCGAAGTGATCGTCCATCAGAGCCCCTCCACCTATTGACTGCAAGGGAAAGTTTGTAGCAACACGTATAGGCACACAGTGAAAACAGCTCCATTAAGTTTAATAAGTTACCAGTAGTGAATTCAGTATCTTTAATAGGGTGCGTGGGCTCGTTTACATACTGGCCACTACAAGCACAGAGAATTGCCTGAAAACATTCACATTTTTTTAAAGCTTCTTGGACACGATGACTTCATCATCACAAGGATCTTTGCATTCTTTGGCATGATGACTTCATGGTCACAAAGATCTTGGACACGATGACGTCATCATAACAATCTAGAGGATCAACTGTGCATGTGCGGTCGACATTATAGTTTATCAAAGTCAAAACCCAGGCCAAGTCAAAGAATTTTATTGAAGATCATTCCCGTCTGCCTCAAATCTGGGGGTCGTCTGAGCAAGTCTGACAGTCCAAGTGAGCAGCGTGAGTCAGTGTCGCCCATGTCATGCCGACAACAGGACCATTGGGCATTGGCGCCGCGGGTGCAGGTGACAGCGCTGCAAATGACCAAACGTCCTCGGCGTCTGTTCTTATCACTCCATGGGCAACACTGAGTCATGTTGGTGTTTATGAGATGTTTGCCACGCTGGAAGGCGTCACTGGAAGTTCGGTCACTTGTTATGGTTTTAGCCAGGAGAGCACAAATTCCATTAGCCTTCTCCAGCTCGTCTGAATAGGAATGCAATCCCCCAAAAACCGTGTGCTACTACTGAGCATGGAATGGTGGTTTCTTGCAGGTTTGTCGAGTCGAAGGGTCAACATACTTTTTGTGCGCTCCAGATGGTATACACTAATCAGTGAGGTCTCAGTCAATCGGCAGGAAGCATTTAAAAAGCTAGTGTTGGCAGAAGCCAACTTCTAGAAATTACCGCCAAAGTCACAACTTCCTAGCTTGTACTATTCCTTGTAAAACGATTTTAGTATATTGCAAACAGATATCTTACCGGGCTCATGGGTGCTGGTGGTGGTGCTGTATTCGGCGGTGAAAATTGCATTGGCTCATTAAATTGCATCGGATCGGGAGGCGGCGCATTAAATTGCATTGGATCGGGAGGAGGCGCATTAAATTGCATCGGATCGGGAGGAGGTGCATTAAATTGCATCGGATTGGGAGGAGGTTTAGCTGGATTAGGATTATGCCTGGGACCACAGTCTTCATACATGTTGTCTTCCTCCTGGACTTGGGCTGGCCCCGGCCTAGCTAAGGCAGGTCGGACGGCAGGCCGTATTCCTGGTTCTGACGCACTGGAACGCATGGATCCCGCCTTCGGTGGACACACAGGAACGGAAACGGGAGCCTGAGCACAAAGATCAAACAGTACAATGAAAATCAGTTCACCACCGAAGTGTCAGCTTTATTCCCGTAGCTATGCAGAAGACGTTACTTCAGTAACGTCTGGCGCTAGCCAGGGTCCACACAGCTTTAATTTGGTGTTTGTTTGTTTGTGTGTTTGTGTCACGCCTGGCGCTATCCCGTATCTGTCCCGTACCGTACCGTACCGTACCATCAAATACAGCTGGCCACATACAGCTGGCCGCAATATTCAAATAGGGCTTTCAAACGAAAGATCATAACGTGAAGCAACTTGGAAGAATGAGTATGAATGCGAAGGGTATGGGGGAATGCATGTAGGGCGATAGTGCGGGTTCGAATCCCAGGTTACGCCTAAAAAAATAGGAGAATTGAAATATTTATAGCAACCCTATGCTTTTTTTGCCTAGGTCATCAAGGCGGTAGACGGTGTCGTATTACCCTCGACCGTACCTGTCCCGTATCTGTCCCGTACCTGTCCCGTACCGTGCCATCAAAGACGGCTGGCCACAATGCATATTCAAATAGGGCTTTCAAATGCAAGATCATAAACGTGAAGCAACTTGGAAGAATTAGTATGTATGCGAAGTGTATCGGGGGATGCATGCAGGGCGCACGATAGTGCGGGTTCGAATCCCAGGTTATGTCTTAAAAAAAGGAATTTTTTAAAGAATTTATAACATCCCTATGCTTTTTTTTCTCTAGGTTATCAAGGCAAAAAAGCATAGCGTAGGGCCCTGAGCTTCCAAGCTCTCTCGTTTGGTGTTTGTTTGTTTGTGTGTTTGTGTCACGCCTGGCGCTATCCCGTATCTGTCCCGTACCGTACCATCAAACACAGCTGGCCACATACAGCTGGCCGCAATATTCAAATAGGGCTTTCAAACGAAAGATCATAACGTGAAGCAACTTGGAAGAATGAGTATGAATGCGAAGAGTATGGGGGAATGCATGTAGGGCGATAGTGCGGGTTCGATTCCCAGGTTATGCCTAAAAAAATAGGAGAATTGAAATATTTATAGCATCCCTATGCTTTTTTTGCCTAGGTCATCAAGGCGGTAGACGGTGTCGTATTACCCTCGACCGTACCTGTCCCGTATCTGTCCCGTACCGTACGGCTGGCCACAATGCATATTCAAATAGGGCTTTCAAATGCAAGATCATAAACGTGAAGCAACTTGGAAGAATTAGTATGTATGCGAAGTGTATCGGGGGATGCATGCAGAGCGCGCGATAGTGCGGGTTCGAATCCCAGGTTATGTCTTAAAAAAAAAGGAATTTTTTTATAACCGCAATCAATAAAACTAGCTGAACCGACATTTGTGTACTTTATTCATGCAATGTAAAAACGGTGGAGACGATGTGCAATAAAACGATGAAACTATGAAGAAATGGTGTAGGGAAAAAAATGGATTCAAACAAGTTTTCCATAATTGAAAGACCAAGACGATCAACAGCCAACTACAACAGAAGCTACGCACTCAGCGGACAAGGGCGAAAGGAGGGACGTGATAGCAGGGTGACGGCCGAGTTGAGTTCAATGGACCCGGTCAGGCGGGATGGACGAGACAGAGAGAGTACAGAGGAAGCGGAGGATGGAACGGACGGCGGAGGGAGCAGTGAGTCGGAGAGCAGTGATGGGAGTGATGGTGAGAATGCCGGTGAGAGTGTTAGTGTTGTGCGTAGGTTTCGTGGTAGCAAGTCTTCAGTGTACAATCATCTGCTAGCTAGTCCTGATTGTTGCAATTCGTATTCCGACTCTTCGTTCACTGTATTGTGCCGTGGTCGTCATGGTTATGGACTACAGTTAAAAGTGTTGGAAGCTATCTATCAGCGTCTGTACAAGCCTAATTTGTGTGTACAGAAAGATAGTATAATTGGGTTGAAATTGTTCAAGTAACATGTCGTGTTTAGTGCGGCCAAGCTTGGCCGTTAAAATGTTCTAGGTGTAATGTACTGCTGTTATGTGTTATCACGTTGTCTTTCCTTCCTTTCTCCTTTGTTCATTTCTCGCTTTGATTGTTAAAATTCACACTTGTAAATTTCACTGTTGTTGCTCTTAGTGTTATTTCTCTAACTTAGATTTTCTATAATAGTTCAATTTTTGTTTCAGTGTCCTTTAGTACAACGACGATTCCTGATGAGTGTTGTACGAAAACTTGTTTGAATCCATATTTTTTTCCCTACACCATTTCTTCATAGTTTCATCGTTTTATTGCACATCGTCTCCACCGTTTTTACATTGCATGAATAAAGTACACAAATGTCGGTTCAGCTAGTTTTATTGATTGCGGTTATCAAATTATTGTCTCCTCGCCGTGTGTTGGAATTTTTTTAGAATTTATAACATCCCTATGCTTTTTTTCTCTAGGTTATCAAGGCAAAAAAGCATAGCGTAGGGCCCTGAGCTTCCAAGCTCTCTCGTTTATTTATCCAGTTTTTGAACTATAGAAAATGGCATGAAAGTGTAAATTGATGTCCTACAATGTAGTATACAAACTGAAGACTAGAAACAACTTAGCAAGGTGAACATTCCTTGCCATTTGGCCATCCACAGAGTGCTCAATGTGAATAAACACAGAGCCTTGTACACACAGCAAGAGGACGACGAACACTTGGTCATAACTCAGAGGTTCACGGTAAGACGATCCCCAGCGTCCGGTGCGTACGCGACTCACGCGATAGGATTTCATCGAGCAGCACTGTAGATTCACGTTGTAAGCATGTACTCTGAGTGCAACGTCACATGGCAAACATCGGTGTCTATTCCTAAATCTTAGCTTCCAGTCTGGCACACTCTTAAAAACATTTTCGGTGATGTCTAGCCATAAAGTTCTAGGGTAAGGTATACTTCAGCACCCTCTACTTCTGTAGTTAAGTATACTTCAGCACCCTCTACTTCTGTAGTTAAGTATACTGCAGCACCCTCCACTTCTGTAGTTAAGTATACTGCAGCACCCTCTACTTCTGTAGTTAAGTATACTGCAGCACCCTCTACTTCTGTAGTTAAGTATACTGCAGCACCCTCCACTTCTGTAGTTAAGTATACTGCAGCACCCTCCACTTCTGTAGTTAAGTATACTGCAGCACCCTCTACTTCTGTAGTTAAGTATACTGCAGCACCCTCCACTTCTGTAGTTAAGTATACTGCAGCACCCTCTACTTCTGTAGTTAAGTATACTGCAGCACCCTCCACTTCTGTAGTTAAGTATACTGCAGCACCCTCCACTTCTGTAGTTAAGTATACTGCAGCACCCTCCACTTCTGTAGTTAAGTATACTGCAGCACCCTCCACTTCTGTAGTTAAGTATACTGCAGCACCCTCCACTTCTGTAGTTAAGTATACTGCAGCACCCTCCACTTCTGTAGTTAAGTATACTGCAGCACCCTCCACTTCTGTAGTTAAGTATACTGCAGCACCCTCCACTTCTGTAGTTAAGTATACTGCAGCACCCTCCACTTCTGTAGTTAAGTATACTGCAGCACCCTCCACTTCTGTAGTTAAGTATACTGCAGCACCCTCCACTTCTGTAGTTGAGTATACTGCAGCACCCTCCACTTCTGTAGTTAAGTATACTGCAGGGTAAGGTATACTGCAGCACCCTCCACTTCTGTAGTTTTAAAAGTATACTGCAGCACCCTCCACTTCTGTAGTTGAGTCTGCTGCTGCACTCACCGGGCCGGCGTGTACAGTTTTGAAGAGGCCTCCATCCATACCTCCTGTTCAGACAACAACAAACCCGCACCCAGAAACATATACAAACATAAGAAACAGCACGCACGGACACCCTGCTTTAAAAGTACTAGTACATACTCTCAACTAGGGCCGAAACGATACGATAAACATTTGCTAATCGTTAAGGAAGGTGTCGATTATCGTTAGCTGTCACTAGCGATATAACGATACCTACTGTATTATGTACATGCACATGTTTAAAGGGGAAGGCTAAAATCAAAATTTCACCAGTTGTAGTCTTCGGGGTGCTGAGTGGAATGGTTGTGGTCCGAGGAAGCTGAGACGCTCCCTTCCTACTTGAATCCCAATTGAACTCGCGCACTTCCACCGAAACTGGGTGACTGCGCCCTACTAGATGGGGATTTGTATGCAAAATGTCACTAAAAGCGCCATTTCGTTCTTATAAAAGCACGGATGACCGCGATTGGCCCATATGTTGTAGTCTTTTGGACGCTGAGTCGACTGGTTTTGGTCCGAAAAGACTGCGATGCAGCGTTCCTCCTTTATTCCCAATCGAACATGGTTGAACAAGCGGTCACGTGCTCCTGCGTACACCAGTCACCTGGTCACCGCGCCTGCAGGGTACAACTTACTAGCCTGTTTGACCTATTTTGGGTGCAGTCCTGTCACTCGAGTTGAACCTTGGTGTGAAAGTTGTCATCCGTGCTTTTATAAGAACGAAATGGCGCTTTTAGTGACATTTTGCATACAAATCCCAATCTAGTAGGGCGCAGTCACCCAGTTTCGGTGGAAGTGCGCGAGTTCGATTGGAATTCAAGTAGGAAGGGAGCGTCTCAACTTTCTCGAACCAAGACCATTCGACTCAGCACCCCGAAGACTACAACTGGTGAATTTTTGATTTTAGCCTTAACTTCCCCTTTAAAAGGTGCTAGAATGCAAGAATTGCACTGTTATTGCTGCGGGCACAGTGTACCGGGTTCGGACTGCGCTGTTCACTGGCATAACACACGTCCAGTACTACAGTGTTCACTGGTGGCAGACAGTTAGTGCGTACACTGGCCCAGCGTGGACTACTTTTCCGGTCTAGCCGCGCTTGGCTATGATTGCCGAATGCTGGCTTCAAATATCGTTATATTGATATATTGATTGTTTTCAGCCCTACTCTCAACCCAAATTCTCCTTGTTGCACTTGAGCCAGAGTATGAGTTTTGGGCACCGGTTGGCGACCCCTCTACTAGGACTGGGGGGGGGGGGGGGTATGTCTTGAGAGATCATGTGAATCAGCAAAACGTCGTCGAGATACGGCGGGATACTGTGTTTGCCGGACCCTGTACCAAGCGGACTCCTGTATTGACCGGACAAATGGTCATGCACCGACGTGCTGTGGATCGAACGTGCATCCCTTGATCAAACGGAATCCTGTCATATCAGGACAGTTTCCACTGCACCAAGGGCATGCGGTCAGGTCCGGTCAGGTCCGGTCAGGTCAGGGTTTACTTTACTCAGTGCCCAAGCGCTGCTTACCTGATCTTATGGTGGACTTCCTGTTCGACCATGAATGCATCGACGCACTCTACAGGCAGGATGATGACAAGACAGCAGACACACTCAATCACAACTTTGTGCAACACAGTACTAGTTGTATACAATTCATTGGACAACTGCAATGATGAGACAGCATAGGCGTGGTCACTTGCGTAGTGGAGTGCGGTGTAGCCAAACCAGGATCTAAATCATCTAACAACATACAGATGTGTTTAATTCTCATCATCAGCCGTCACATAAACTATCCACACCATGCAGGCGAGGCGCTGGTGTGGATGTTTGATGCTACTAGCGCTGGCTAGACCTGTGTCATTCTCCTTCCCAGCAACCATGTTTATTTCATGTTGTGTCGTCTCCCTCTAAAACTCGTAGACCATCTGGTCGTATGCGCCTCGGTGTATGCTGTTAGCGCCTGTCCTTTAATGTCACCCCACCCAGCTTGCGTATGTGCACATTACACTATTGACACATACCATTCACCCGCGCTACATTACTCACACTTGCTGCAGCCGATATCAATCACATCTTCACAACATCGTAGTTAGTCAGTGCTGTGTGATAATTGCTGACGCGTGAAACTCGGAGTTACAGCAACTCCACTTTGATTCTCTTCTCTGTACGTGTACAGATGTGTGTGTGTGTGTGTGTGTGTGTGTGTGTGTGTGTGTTTGTGTGTGTGTGTGTATGTGTATGTGTATATGTATGTGTGTGTGTGTGTGTGTGTGTGTGTGTGTGTGTGTGTGTGTGTGTGTGTGTGTGTGTGTGTGTGTGTGTGTGTGTGTGTGTGTGTGTGTGTGTGTGTGTGTGTGTGTGTGGTGTGTTTGTGCATGTGCATGTGTATGGTGTCATGGAGAAGGGGCTTTGGAATCAAATAAAAATAATTTTATTACCCCCCCCCCCCCCCATCGCCGCCGCCCACGCACCCACATACTACATTCCATTGGATTTTCCCAGGGCTGGCTAGGATGTTTCCTACGAGTATTTGATCACACTTCCAAGAGCATATTGACACTTACTGATTGTAGAGGTGCTCCTGATTGCCCGTCAGCTGATTGCATCCCTCTCTGTGAGTTATGACCTGCCCGACACCTGGGATCGGAGTGCTGCTTTGGCAAGCCAAATCCAATGGTGTCCAAGGAAGCGCTGTCGATTTTCTTGCGACTGAAGTGATCTACATGCATGTTGACATCACAAGACAAAAATCAGGGCATTACTCAGCGTTTGTCGTCACTCTGTCAAATGCACTAGCACTGGGCTGAGCCAACAATACACAATTGCTATCTACAATGGCGTCAGACGGGAAGGGAAGCAAAGACGGCACACATGCATGCCTTCAAGTACAGTACTACTATAGTAGAGCCAGGAGCAAAGGTGATGCAGCCGAAGGAATCATAGGTGGCGCAGCAACAGCATGTAGAAACGGGGGCCAACAATGGCGCTGCATTCGTGGAAACAAGGACGACTCCTTGGCATGCACTGTGGGTGCCAACAAAGGCGCACTACACAACTGAAGTAACCGGCGGTGCATATGCTGGTACTAGTACTACGGGCCCCAAAACGGGCTAATGCACAACAACAACAACACCATCCAGCTGTTGTCGTGAAGAGGAAAAACATGATTGTGCTCTCCCCCTACCTTGCAATTTCAAGCGGCGGGTGTTGTGATTACACAGTATAGTTCACTCCTCCCCAGTACTACATTGGAAGTATATTTACAAACACAACATAAGTATACACAACAGCTCCAATGCCATGCATGGGCGCTCGCGGTTTTATCCTGCTGACTAGATGCTCGCCTGATTCTGGACTGCCATCCAGCGCACACGAGAAATCCATCGAACATTCGTCTCGGCAAAGATGAACGAAAATGCACTCCCTGCTCGTTACCCAAGTCATTCTTATTTGGCTGGAATAGAGACTATCACATACGGAGCGGCCAACATTTCCCTGATCATTGCTGGAGTTGTTTACACTGATTTGTGGTGTGGACAATCAATGATGAGCTGGACATTTGGCAAGACATGGCATAGCACTGCGCGCAGTGTAGATCACACACACACACACACACACACACACACACACACACACACACACACACACACACACACACACACACACACACACACACACACATACACACACGCACACACGCACACACACACACACGCACACACACGCACACACAATATAATTCTTACATTTGGTTTTGGCTACAGCAGCGCCATCCCTGACACTAACACAGGGTGCGGGACGATTGCGCTTCAACATGGACATCTTGCCGATATCACGGCGGACGATCTTCTCCTTGTGGATCTTGACACACTGCAGTGGGGGTATGCAACAGTTACACACAGAAACACGGTGTACAGCCAACGTTATGAATAATGACCTTGGGTACAACAACAACTCATGAATAACGACATCATCTTCAGAACTAGTGAGCATTTGACTGTATACTTGCAACCTCATGAATAATGGCAACACGCGAATAACGACACCATTCTCATGCATGACTGATTCGCAATTGTACATTCAGGGCTCACCACGACCATACAAAATTCAAAAAGCGTCGACCACCATTTTGAAAACATGGCGATGCCGCCAAGGCCAGAGTTTGTGCAGTCATAGCGGCTACGCACCCGAGTTCATGCTCATCGATGCACAGCGATGTACAGTCTAGTCGTAAAATACCGGTATTTTACGACTCCCTGGTCTACTCTGTACAGCGAAGCGCCAGTGCCGAAGCGAATCTTGTTGTTTCATGTCGGGAAAGACACGCGGAGAAGACGTCCTTTCTCCAAGCCATCTTGGTCATTTTTCTCAATCCGCTGGTGGGTGTTGACCAAGATATGTCCGTGAGGTACTAGTGAACTTGAGTCCTGGCATCTACAAGAATTTGCCGCGCCTAGCTAACCAATGTTGTCAGTAGAACTCAGCGTTTCCTGATCGCGACTCGGCACACTCTTTTCTGTTTGGCCTCGCAGCGTGGGGAGTTTCCTGGCCACAAATGAATCCCTTAGTCATGACCATGATGAGAGATGACTGGTATGATCCCTGACTGGCATGAGTCCTTAGCTTGAGTCAACACGAAGGTAAACTCTTCACTTGGAACGCTTGCTGTCTCCTCCGTCCTTTCTTGTTGTACTTGCAGATATGCGCACGGCTGCCAGTTTTTGTTGGTGCGCGCGGCGACGCACGGCCGACCTTGATGTCTTCAAAAAAGTAGAACAGCGGTTCTCCTTGGCCGATTCTCACCATCGATAGCTCATTTTCAAGGTCTTGGAATTCTCTATCGGTTTACCGTCCCCGATTTCTAATTTTCTCTTCATTCACTTGTTCGCACGCCTTCGCGTTTGAGTGATTTCACCATCCGATCTCAGCCAAACGAAGGCCAAATCGAAAAATTCGAGACGGTAACCCTCCAAAGACACACCTTCTGAACACGAATCCACAATGGCCTAATGTCTAAAACCAACGAATACAGCCGAGCTCCACTCAGAAAACACCCCACAATTGCAAGAAACAGCCCGTTTTGCCGTGCGCTGATTGGTCAAATCCAAATGACCGTTATTGACGCTTTGTACGGTCGTGGTGAGCCCTGACATTGCTGACACTTCACTGTACTGCGCTGCTCAAACACAAATAGCTGGGATTTCCCCTTCTACTGGCCTAGATGTCAGTGTGCAGGCTACGAATATGTTATACGTGTGGTCCTACATAAACATTTTGGAAATTGACACTTGCAAAATACACGTCATGGAAATTGACGTGCGTTATCAATACGACTTTTGACTAGCTATGTTCTGGCCTTCAGATGTTTTCAACTTTCCCTTGCCTCACGATTGGCCTGCCCTCTTCACTATCGACACACACACACACACACACACACACAACACACACATAACACACACACAACACACACACACACACACACACACACACACACACACACACACACACACACAAACACGTGCACACACACGTACACACGTACACACATCCACACGCACACACACCTGCTGGCATGCACACACATACAAGCAGAAGATTCTGCGCATGGCTGCAGTCCTTACCGTGGATAGATGGCTAACAGATTCATCTAATCGATCCATTTGCTGTGACTGTTGGTCAAATAAGTTGGTGGCATGCTGAGCAAGCACACTAATACTGTAGGCAACACTGGCCAGAGCTTGAATAGTATACTGCTTTGATTCATTGATGATAGTGCCCTGCAGAGAGACAAGCAACACCGAGCAAAGAGAGAGAATCCAAACACACAACAGCAGTGAAGACTAGACTACTTATGGTAGTGAGCGCACGTGTGTGTGTGTGTGTGTGTGTGTGTGTGTGTGTGTGTGTGTGTGTTTGCAAGCAGAACAGACCGTAATCATCACCTGTTGTATACTCAACTTGTCACCGCTCCTTCAGCCGCGTAAGCGACAGGAAGCGACACAAGTGTACAGCTAGCTACGTGTGCCCTACCATTAAGCCAACAGCCAGAAAGCGATGGGTGTGACAGATGGTTCCGGAGCAGGGGTGGATTTGCCCAACACAAGAGCTCGCCTGCAACATCATCAGCGCAGACATCTTCTTACACTGGAGTCACCAGTTACGCACAATATGTCCCACGGAAGCTGTGGCTCGGCCAGAGCAACCAACACGGACCTTAGCTATGGTATGTGTGTGTGTTTGTGGGGATTAAAAAAAAGAAGTAAATTATCGTATCCGTTCCCGAAGGGAACTCACGACGGCCGCTAACACCCGATAAACCCTAGCGGCAGATGCAGCGCCTAACGGTGGGGGTGAGTGGGTAAGTCTCACAACCACTGGCACAAGTGCCGAAAACGACCCCATTAGCTGCATGTTTGTGGGGATTCACTGGCCAGAAAAAGCCACTTCAATCAGCTGTGTGGTGGATACCAGGCTAAACATTAGTGGCGGTCAATTCATCGGCCTTGCAAGCTGTTGAATGGAGTAATCCCAGCACAAGTTGCTATGTCTAACATAATTGTTCGCTATCATCGCTTCCGCGATGGGCAGGTCTAAGGTCTGAGGTGTGTTTGTGTGTGCGTGCATGTGTGTGTGTGTGTGTGTGTGTGTGCATGTGTGTGTGTGTGCATGCATTTGCGTGTGCATGTGCACTTGAGAGAAAGAGAAAGAGGTAGGGAGAGAGAGGGAGAGAGATAGATTGATAGAGAGAGAGAGAGAGAGAGAGAGAGAGAGAGAGAGAGAGAGAGAGAGAGAGAGAGAGAGAGAGAGAGAGAGAGAGAGAGAGAGAGAGAGAGATGGATAGATAGAGGCCGGGAAGGCACTAGGCAGGGATGGAGGATGTTAGACAGGCAGAAACGGGGCCGCAGAGGTAGAGGTAGGGGAAGATGGAGACAAAAGGAGACGGAGATGGAGGTTGGGAGAAAGGGCAGGCATGTATCCAGATTCCAGAGGGGTCACGTATAAGGTCTGGACGACCCCCCCCCCCCCCCCCCCCTTCGCCGATAGCTTGAAAAAATAGGAAAAAGCTAATCGGTTTAGACATATACAATAGTACATGTCTCCCTGCTAGTATGTTGGACATGTATTTTGGTAGATGCATAAATGCAACCCCATTTCTGACAGCCTGGATATGTGTTTGGCGAGGAGGGAAGTAACAGCCTATGGCAGTTTCCACAATCTATAATTATTACAATACAAATCGAACTTAGAAGTTGTGACTTCGGCGGACGATGTTGGTTGCTACTACACGGAACACATGCTGGAAATAGAGAGCCACCGTCAGTTTGTATCTCTACTTTGTCTAATGGTCACGGTTAGGGATGCTTGAGCACTATAAGATGTAGTGTTCCTGGAGCATACATTTCAGTGTGTATCCCTGGTGATGGTTTGGTCTGGAGAGCACTATATACATGATATAAGTGGTACTCTTCAGGCACAGCCTTCCTCAGCCTACTCAGGCTCAACTGATGAGGGGTGAATTCCCCGAAACTCTGTGTATTGAGCAGGGAGTTGTGCTTTCCTGCAGGTTTGACGAGTGGAATGTGTGACGTGGGGTATACATGAATTTGATTGTTCTGCACTTGCCACGTGAGTTCCCTTCGGCTTCCCTTCGGGAACGGACATGATCATTTTCTTTTTACTTTACTTTGCCACGTGGCAATTTGACTCTGACTGTTCGAAAGGCAAAATTATTGTCACTCAAGTCAAGGCCATTGCCCTCTCCCCCCCCCAGCCACATTGTGGTCAGACCCACACAGCTCACTCTCGTTCCGGCCCAACGTCGGTGAGCTCCCGCACAGGGTATGTATCGTCAGGCAGAAAACGTGAGTCTGTGGGTCACTGGCTATATCGCGATGTACGCACGGATAGCGTGTGACTGAACCTGCCAGTATTGTGACTGACTAACCCTGATGCATACTTCATTTCGCGAACGGGAAGCGCACCGCATCGCGAAAAGAGTGGACTTGAGCTAAACTTGTTTGGCCCATCGCGCTACCGTCACACAATGTGTTTCCCCGTACGCGAAACAAAGTATTTCTATGAATGAGGCTTTAGACCATCACCAAGCCCACACCTGTTTGACTTCAAACTTGACGGTCGTCACTACTGGCCGCAGGCAAGTACATGTACTATAACTAGGCTAGATACGGTGCATCAGCATTGTATTGCACCATGTGCAAGTGTGTGATGACGTGATCACATGAAGTTGTTGCTTCTTTGGATGGGCATTGGGTGGATCATCTCGGACGAAAAGTGGTACGACGGGGGGTCGTACCGTTCGTGTGTGACGCCCTGGTTCTTGTTGAAAATCGAAGCCGGTAATATGAGAACTGGATTAAAGTCGCGTCGACCCGAGGACTACACATACAAGAAGTACATTCAGAAGAAAGAGGTCGGTGGACTGATACCAGTACAACGTAATTCCAAACTTCGTACAGAATCATGATTATGGCCAACCTAAACACACTTAGCACCTGTACCTGCTCATGCTCCGACGTCGCCTCGAGGTACCGCTTTTCACAATAGTCTGCAACGTCTGCAAGCTGATTGGAGCTCTCCAACAGGGCCTGCTTGGAAATAGGAACTTCCCGAGCGATGGCGTCCACCATCCTGACAAGTCACTAGGAAACTGATCAGCCTGCTCAAGCGAAGCTGCCCTGCAACAGATGGTAGAGGATTCGCAACGCAGCCAAGGGGCCACGCAGGAAAGAGTTGAAACACTCAACCAAGTAAAGAGCATGCAACAGTGAACAGCACAAGAAATAAGTGGTCACCCAGCCTGCTGTATGTTCTCCTTTGCTGGCAGTAGCTGTCTACCCAAAGAAACGAGTCGGATTGCGGAACTGGAGAGCAACATCCGGCTCGTCACACATATTCGCGACTACGCTATATATGGGCAGTGTGCCGAGTCATAGCCGAAGGCGGAAGCTCCGTTGGCATCAGCAAAAACGGTGTGTAATGCCATCGATGAACTGTATCGTAGATCTACTTACGACGCGGTTCGACTGCGCCCAACTCCTTGCGTTGAACTTTGAACCCTACGAGTAGTGGCGTCGAATAAGGTGACACCTGCCATAAAAATTCTCCGTTAGAAGTTCTGATAGTGATATGATCTCAGCACGACTCAAAGTTAGTTACAGTTTATACTGCCAGTGTTGGCAGTGTTGCGTTATCCTGACTTCTGGCTGTTCTCACGGACCTGTGTCTGTGACCAAGGAGCTCATATTCGTTTCATTCATATTTACAAGGCTGAAACAAACATACCGAATATTCGAACATACGTTCACAGAGCAAACATTCGTGATGTGAAGAACATTCCCACTGAAAGATGATCCGTCATTCTACACAGAACTTCCGGTCTTTCTGTACATGCAGTGAACTGCACATGTACGGTACTGGAGTGCGGTCGCACATTGCAACCAGGGAGTAGTACAATACCTTATTATAATTATTGTTATTGTACTACTCCCTGATTGCAACATCTGAGGATGTGCTATGCAGTTGAGTCACGACTTGCATGATGTACATGAGTGTACACTACTGAGTACAGTACTAGTACATAGTATTCCAATGCAGTGGTGAAGTGCCATTGCAAATAATTACACACCATCGTGTTCGTTTCGGCCCGATGAATCATACTGGTCGTGGGCACATGAGCATCTCTGATTAGTATCAGCATCCGCATAACTGCCTCACCACACAGCTTTCAAATTCCGCTCCACATACTCCTCCTACTGATAACGTCTGTTCTCAGAGTCTCCTTCTCCTCCTCACACTGTCTGTCTAATTCCCCCTCCTTCTGTCTCTCCTCCTAACATTTCACTTTCAGATAATGTACATGTACCTGTCACTCCTTCCATTTTTTCTTCTTCTTTTAATCTGGTGCGTTTTATATCCCCATTAGGCCTTTCCCAAATCGGCCATTTATTTTGGCCTATTCGGCTTTTCGATCGGCTGAAAAAATCGCCAGAATCGGCTGAAAATTTCTGTAAAAGGTTGAAATTCGGCTCTCTAAAGTCGCAGCCACCTTTCGCAGATAATAGCTACAGAAATTGCAGTCCATCCTCAAGCGTGCAAAAAACATAATCTCTGCCACTAATCGAGACTTACACTGATTTTTGCGCTTTTGGGCCCAAATAAGTCTTGATGACGGCAAAAAATAATTGTCAACTGAATACGGAAGTGAACGAATTTGGTCGAAAGTGTCGAACCACCTTCATGACAAGCAACCGTTTGTGGCCACTGCTTGTGAACTTGGAGCTTGTTATGGTGTGTGTCGGCAGGAATTTTTTTATGGCGATCAGGAAACGTTTTTCACATCGAAATCAGTGGTTACCCTTTGAAATTGAGATGTTCAAACAGCGAATTTTCTACGTCGAAATGAAGTTGGAGCACCAACGAGTTTGATTATTCCGATTTCCTTGGTGGGCTAAGGTAAGGGTAATTAACAGCTAGACATAAAAATCTCACCTGTTCACGCCCTGTATAATCCAACTTCGACCTTCAAAGTGGGCGTACTCAAGCAACATAAATCATACATGCCGTATACATGTACATAAACCTTTGAAGGGAGCATGAAAACACGCAAACGCATAGCTGTGTATACATGTACATTGTGCATGCACATGTACTGTATGTGTGTACATTGTAGACCCTAGTTTGTGTTCCTCTGTGTGTCTCGGTGTGTCGTCAATGCTGTATTCGACAACCGTAAGCATAAGGAGAAAGTTGCCGCTGTACGCGCTCTTGTGTGTAGTATGTGTGCCGCGTTCAGTTGCTGTCTAGTATGAGATATCGGTACATGTAGCTGGGTTGGTGGTGCGTATTGCCTTGATGTGGATCACCTAACTCGTGGCCTTCTAAAGCCCGTCGAAACGCATGCCGTTTCAGATGTATGGTCTCGTGGTGTGTGTGTGTGTGTGACTGTGTGTGTGTGTGTGTGTGTGTGTGTGTGTGTGTGTGACTGTGTGTGTGTGTGTGTGCATGTGTGCGTGTGTGTGTCAAAATGCATGCCGTTTCAGATTTATGGTCTCGTGGTGTGTGTCTGTGGTAGGGACCGGTGGATTCTGCTCGAAAAGGTGGCAGATTTTGCTCGAAAAGCAGTGAAATTGGCAGAACCATACAAACCTTATGGCGGACAATTCCTCGAATTCTGCTCCATTTCTTTATCCACATACCAAACATGCATGAAACTTACCAGAAAAAGTACCGAATTCTGCCAATTTTCTGCCAGCAGAATCCGCCGGACCCTAGTCTGTGGGGGGGGGGGGGTATTTGTGTGTGCGCGTGTGTGTGTGTTTGTGTGTGTGTGTGTGTGTGTGTGTGTGTGAGTCTGTCGCGCTGACAATATCTCGTTTTCTGCTTATGAAGCTACATGTACATGTATGTGTTATTTGTAGGAGATTACAATGTATGTAGAGGTGATTGTCTGCTTTGCGTTCCTCTCTGCTTGGCCTGCATTATCAATTTATCAGTACTGGTTTTTGCTCTTCACACGTACACGTACCCCCCCCCCCCCGCACACACACACACACACACACACACACACACACGCGCGCGCGCAAGCATGCTTATGTATACAGTTTCAGTTTGAAAAATGCAAAGTGTCCTGTACATGTGTGCGTCTGATGCATTCACACGAACTTCAACGGTCTATGCATATACCATGCACGCGTCACTTCTCCTTTGAGGAAAGAAAACCAAAGCATATCAATACAATCACATGCATGTATACAAACTTTTAAAAGTGTGCGAATGTACAACGTACGTTTGTCTTGTTTATGCTGTGTGTCACTTTGCTCTGGGCATGGGAATTCTGTCGTATTTGCGAATTGTCGTTATATACGCAGTGGTTATTAGAGAAGTTGACTGTATGTGAATGTACAAAGTACGTTTGTCTTGTTTATGCTGTATGTCACTTGCTCGGCCACCCGTGTTGCGTTCTCTCTGTTTCGGCTATTGCCACTGCACTGTTCTAGCCAGAAATTATTGTTGATAGGGAAACCGAGTGCGAACGTGGTTAGGCTTTGTTGGTGAGGTACTCTCATGTGTGCGTATCAGTGCTCGTTTGTATTCCACCGACGGTGTGGCACACACATGTGATGTATGCGAAGTGTATCCGGCATGTACGAACAATGTGTGTGCATCCGCGGCACGCATGTTTGACATGTTTGTGCTCCACGTGTGCATGTAGGATCTAAACGTGTGTAACGCAAGCGTGTGGGGCACGCCCATGACGTCTGCGGCACCGTGACATGGCCAGTATGTGATGTCCGACACGGGTGTGCAGGAGTGGCGCGTGGGCGTGTTCGCAGTGTGCACGTCTATACTCCAGCGTATTGTCCACTTTCCTGGTCCCAGGAGGGTTTTGGATCTGTGGAAAACACGTGAACTGAATACAGTGGAGTTAGTTTGAACTCTTGTGTGCTTTCTGTGCACAGGTTTATCTACGGAATTGAGTATGGTCAAGAAATGCGTCTGAAAAACCTGGAGCACCATCGATTTTGCCATAACCATTACTCGAATGTCCGAGAGCAGGATCGAGGGCAACCACATTGTCGAAAATTACACCTGTTCACGCCCTCCTTTCAGGTTACTGGCTCGTTTTCGCCGACTGCTCTGAATCGTACGAAAAATTCAAAATGTTCTCCGCCGAATGGCACCATCACAAAGTCTTTCGGATCATTTTCGATATGCACCTCGCGAACATACCACCTTCCTGCACCCATACACCACAAACAATGCATGCTCCATTCGACGAGGTGGGTGTCATGAGTGTTCTTTCACGTCAGTCGCCGAAAGTCATTTCAGGGTGAGAATCGTTCTCAAGAAAAAGATCGCAAAAATCAGTGTAAGTCTCGATGGAACGCTTGAGGATGGACTGTTGTATTTGCATGCTATTGAGGCACTAAAACATCAATTTTCGGTGAATTCAGTGCGAAAATTGCGCATTCGGCTCAAAGATCGGTGATTTCTTCAAAAACCACTATTTTCGGCCAATGTTTCGGCCGGCCGATTTGGGAAATGCCCACGGGCCGTGACGCAGGCGCGCACCAACGGTCATGCATGCCCAGTTAAGTTGCCCACGACCCTGCAAAACATTGTATATTCGGCGATTTCTTGGTAAAATCTCAGAATTCGGCCAAAAGATCGGCGATTTTCTGAAAAGGCTACTTTTCGGCGAACTTTTCGGCCGGCCGATTTGGGAAAGGCCTAATCCCCATGATGCCGAGACTTCAGGTCGGCTGAGGGATTATAAGCCTCACCATGACTAGGCTTCCATATGCAATTTTTTTTGTCTTTGCTTGTGAGCTGTGATCATTGTAAAAATATAAATTATATTGTACCTCAACGCGCGCGGGAGGTGTGCTGTGAAAACATCGATAACAACCGAGCCCGTCACGTCGATACAGATTACAGACAATAGGCTCCGAAAGGGGTTTTCTCCCAGTCAGTAATAATAATAAAATTAATAATAACGTATCACTGTGGCATAGCATGGCATGCAAGAGTCCACGCCCATAAACAGTTTATGGAGTCTAGCATGAAGGATCACTAGTATTACTAGTAAGTGGCTACGAAAAACATCGAAAAACATAGTATTAAAAAGTGGCTGTAGAACTACGACAAAAATAATACAAGACGGAAAGGCTGTAGGGCTTTCCCTATCAAAATAATAAATTCTACTACTACTACTACTACTACTACTACTACTACTACTACTACTACCGTCATGACTGTATACAGTGCGTATCGGTTATAGTGTGGTCGTATACAAGAATATACTGCCTACAAGAATGAACACTCATTTGTTCATAATCATAACACCTATTTTATGTGTAAATTTATTCTTACAAGCAGTATTATCGCATAGTAGAATATATCGGCCCTAAGAATGGATTTTGTGTAGCAAAATATGCCAGATTAGTGCAAAGTGTATCGCCTGTAGTAATAACATCTGTGCTCTGTGCATGCTCAATACAATAATATTCAACACAAAAAGAGAGTTATGTCCAACTGAGCATTGGAGAATCACTTTTTCTGTCCAGTCGGACTCTTTCTTCCGACTTCTCTCCTCCGCAGTCGCCTAGCACGACCGCGAGTCTGATCCGTGTGTATCATGATTGTGTAGACCAGGGAGTAGTACAATACCGTATTGTACTACTCCCTGGTGTAGACCTACATGATTGTACGTGTCCACATGCCAAACATGTATTATGTCACACGTGCATATTATGTCACACGTGATTTATCGTGTGTAAGAAATTACCCATATAAAAACCGCTCTGTGAGCGGTTCTGAAAAACCTCTACTGGTGCAGCCCCGTCGTAAAAGTAAGAAATTAGAACTGGCGCATTGTCCTCCCAAATGTGAACTGATCCACCTAAATCGCGATTGACGGGACCCGAACGCACCAGTAGCACGAGGTTCCTACCTGTGGATGCAGCTGGGGATGCTGGTCCATAGCCAAAGCCAAAGCGGCAAAGGTGGGCTTCGGGGTAGATCTAAAGTGTTGTATGGTAACTTGATCAGCGCCGACGCCGGCTGTGATCCTGTGCCCTCCCGACCTCGTGCTACTGGTGCGTTCGGGTCCCGTCAATCGCGATTTAGGTGGATCAGTTCACATTTGGGAGGACAATGCGCCAGTTCTAATTTCTTACTTTTACGACGGGGCTGCACCAGTAGAGGTTTTTCAGAACCGCTCACAGAGCGGTTTTTATATGGGTAATTTCAGTTCTTTTTCTGTTCCCTCCCCACCCCAGCCCAGCTCCGAAGATAAACATGGTGAGCACGCGCGCGATGCACTGTATGTAGCCATGCAACTGCAGTAGCACACTGAAACATTCCAGCCCTCCCCACCTTGCTACCCCGCACACAGACACCTTGTGACAAACACGCACATGCACATGGCACACACACACATGGGCACGCACACACATACATACATACATACACACACACAACCCAAACAGGAAATTCTTGATGAACATTGTATAATGCCATGGAAAGCAGTGGCCACCATACTTCAGGAAGTCAGTTGTGAAACAAAAATAATTCAACTACAATGTGTAGGTAAGCTGGCGGCCAAAGCACAACATTGCAAACCGTGATGATATTTGCCTAAGGATTGCAGTTTGCAGACCACACCATGGAAGCAGTGAATACAGAATTATGGTAATGTCATTTAAAGACAAGCAAAGAAGTGGCCACCATACACCAGAAACTTGCAGAAAGTCACATATCCAACAGATAGAGAAGTGAACAGCATCTGGTACAGCACACACAAAACCAAGCTGACCTGATACTCGTCCGAAGATCGTAAGTGGCAGATCCTTTTCAACGATAGCATGCAGGTGTACGTTACACGCATTGACAAAATCTGACTGTGTCACCGGCATACATTGTCATCACATGCATACCCCACAAGTTACACACATGCACAGTAGAAGCACAATAAAAGCAATGGAAAAATATGAAGGGGTTGCTGAAGCATCTTCACACTTCAATTTCAGACTTCGATGTGGTCGTCACGGGGTGATATACCTGCAAGATACAAGTGATACAGAAAGAAAGCATAAGGTCGTGAGGTAGGCTATGAGACACCACAAATGGGTCACCTACATGTATGTTAAGGGCTGGTGTACACACACACGCAGAATTATCATAATCGAGAATTTCCCAAACTACAGAAGAGCAATAAAATCCATTTGCATGCACAGGAGAAATTTTGCAGTATGATGCGCAGCTCGGGAATACACCTGTTGGCACTGGATTACATTCCCATTGGAATTCCCATTCACGTGGGATTCACAGAAGCAATTTGGCAGTGTGCTGCGTAATGCGACACGACCTGCGATTCTGCGTGCGATGCAAACTCGCACAAAATACCATTCACAGAATCACGACAAGACGTCAGCGATGCAACAGCGCCTTGCTGACGTGCCTCAAGTCAAAGCTCAATTTGGCAGTGTGCTGCGTAATGCGACACGACCTGCGATTCTGCGTGCGATGCAAACTCGCACAAAATACCATTCACAGAATCACGACAAGACGTCAGCGATGCAACAGCGCCTTGCTGACGTGCCTCAAGTCAAAGCTCAATGAGAATGCGTTTGTCGGTTACAACTGGTACAAATGTACAAGCAATTTCTGAAAATGCTCCTGTGAATCGTGCTTTAAGCAGTGCAGGAATGTCCCTCCTCCGCTCCCCCCCCCCTCCACACCCTCAGGGAACTTGACAAGGAAGGGTGGTCTTCGCGGTTCCCAACATCTATTTGCAGTTTCTGGTCTCCACTATGTCTTTTCAATGGGGATTTGTACGTACCATAAAAGCAAGCCTAAAAAATGAACAGCACATTTGCCGTCCCCCCACTGGGGAGGATGCATTCCACAGCTATCCTGACAAGATATTCCGAGAAGCGGTGCTGAGTGCAATGCATTGTGAAACTGAAAAAGCTGACCAAGCCGCGGCATATAACGTCTAAACTTCAATTGTAGTTTGCCAGCTGACTACTTTCAAACTCCATGTAGGTTGGAGTACAGCTGGCTTAGAAGTTGACAACAACGGCGCACGCACATAAGCAATGGCCACCTTACCTGTACTGTAGCAGTACTTCCGAGTTCCCGTATGGGAGTGCCCACACTGTGTGTGCAATAGCAGCCTCATCGGACCAGTTCAATGCGACGCGGACCGTCCGACACTGAGGAGGACATTGAAGAAGTCAGAGACAGGAAGAATGGTTGATTTACAATTCAACTAGCAAGGCTGCACACCCACGAGGTTCCACTCACCATTGTGCCGTCCTTCTTGGAATGCAGAAATAACGCTTCCTCTCGAGAACGCAGCCTGTGACAGAGAAAAAGGAAGGAGCATCGCCATCGGCATTGGTCCTCTGCTATCACCGATTGCCGAGTTGCACAGTTCACTCTAACAAGACTGAGGATGCTCTAGAACTCCCCATCCATACCATTATTGGAGTAAGAGGAAAGGTCAGATTGCCTAGTTCCTAGGGCCTAGTATTCCTGGATGCCAGGATGTGCTGCCCCCCCCCCCCCGCCCCTCCCTTCTACTGCCTGGAAAGGGCAACATATGTGACAGCGTTCACCAGTACAGTCGGAGGAGAACATGGGAGAAGGCAAAAAAGGGCAACACACATGAATCCCTTATAAACAAGCAGTGGCAACTCTAGTACCAGCAATGTTGGACTTACATCCCAGCCATTGCCGCCGGATTCAGCGGCTTCTTCTTCTTCGTCTCCCATCTTGGAAGCACTCCTTCCCGTAAGTTCAGTCCTGGGATCGGGAGTACAGTCGGAAGAGGACGTCGGAAAAGGCAAAAAGGCAACACACATGATTCCCTTATAAGCAAGCAGTGGCAACTCTGGCACCAGCAATGTTGGACTTACATCCCAGCCATTGCCGCCGGATTCCCACGCTTCCTCTTCGTCGTCTTCCAGTTCCCAGGTTCCATCTTGCAAATACTCCTTCTCGTAAGTAAGTGCAGTCCTGGCCTGGGTGGATGCGCAGTACATTGACGATGGCGGAGATGGAGCAGGTCAGGGAGCCCTATAGGGGTCCCGAGAGCAGATTGTGGCCAAATTCGGGACGATGCCGGACGCCAGTCAGTATGAAGTAGCGAATTGCGGACCGCCACGTAGATTGGGGTCGCGGGGTCATAATCCATGGGCACTACTCGTACGTTGCTCCAAAAAAGGGCACTGCACTGTTCCACAGTTGCTGTTAGCTGTCGCCAAAGGCACTTGGTAGGCCGGTAATTGGGTCACGTGTCAACAAAGTGTCAACAACGTGTCGACCACGTGTCTTTAGCGGTACACTAATTTTGGTGTCCCCAAACTGAAAACATCGAGCACCAGTATGGAAAGGCTTTAGACAGAAAGCCTTTCCAATATCGGCAATAAGAATCAAATGTCGTTTTTCAAACACCCACGCTATAACCGATACCTACTGTACAATGTAGTGACTACTAGCAAGAGTACATATTAACACCGGGGGTTATGTACTCTTGCTACTAGTGTACATAATCAGTCATTACAGCTGTAGAGTCTACTGCAGTAGACCTACTGGGCCCCGGACTGGTTGTATACGGGGTATGGACGCTAGCACGTGCATGGCCCATGCGCCGCGCCGGTAAATCACGTGCACAAAAGGGGAATCATTTTCTTTGAAAAAGTCAAAAACCGAAGCTGCATGCATTCATCATTAATTTTTGCTGTCGCTTCGACTCTCGACTCGAGTCTGTCCATCGAGTGACATGATTGTGTAGCTGAACTACAAACTAACTACATGTATTAGTATTACTGAAAGTCTTGAAGTTGAAGGGAGCTCAGTTTGAGATCTGCCACAGCCGTTTGGTCTCTATACGTGCCTATCACGTTGTGAAGAGTCTTGTAGATCTTGGAAGTGGGCTGCGATTTAGCTGGACAGTGTACAATAATAAGTTTAGTAGTGACTTCTGTTTAATACATGGACTTGCTAACTAGTAGGTGGTACGACTGCCAACAGCAAGGACTAAAGACGTGCTGAGCACAATGGACGAGGAGGAAAAAGCTTATGTCTGGGAAGCTGACTATGAACGTTCCTGGTAAGGTTTTGCAGTAGTTCTCAGAATGACCGCGACACGTGTTTGATTTTGAAAGCTGTGCTTTGTTATTGATGTTTGGTCTTGCTGCCCCGCAAGCTTGATGCTCCCTTGATGTTTAGATAATTCTGACGAGTGCAACCAGGTTTGTGGGCATAAACAACTGGTACTACGAATAATGTAGGCGTCCAAGCAAAAACAAACAACAGATTGATGATTTTTACGGCTGACCAATTTTATTACTAATTTTATGTTTCAAGCAACTATTAGTTGTAAACGTGTCCAACTGTTTTGCCTTGAATGCCTCAAATTGCATGGCCACTTCACTAGTGATGTCATCAAAATGCCATTTCACAGGGGGGAAATGCTCCCAAACATACTGTCCGCAGTTCCTACACGTCCCAGAGCAAAATCCTTTCGGATTTGGTCTCAGGGTGATGTGGGCTAACAATGGACCCTGTACTGTTTGCCCTACTAGTATAGACTACAGGGCTTGAAAGTTCTACGTCACAGCTGGGCCGGAATCATAAAACAAACTGAGTTTTTGATCCACTTGATCCGGAACTTGTATGGATCCATACTAGTACCGTAAAATCCCGCCAGAGCGCCCCTACCTCCTCGACGCTTCAGGTGGGGAGGGGCGGATGAGCGAGTCCTACTTGCCGCATTCAGTGCTACATGAAAAAGTACTCACCCTACGAAAACTGTTCGTGCATCTCGTACACCGACCAAAGGTCAAGAGCCAGGAGTCGTACAGACCCGACAAAACGCAGGGTTTGTGCGATCCCTGGTCAAGAGGGTGGGCACTGTTGCGTACATTTCCAACGGGGTTGAGCACGCGTCTGCAGTACAGTACGGCATCACAGACTGCGACAGAGTCATACGAGGATACAGTCAATCACGTCCCTGACAAGAAGTCAGGGAGGGGCGGATGGGAGAGACGGGGGGCGCTCTGGCGGGATTTTACGGTACATGTATACGTTTCGTGGATCCTTCATACTAGGCTGGCATCTGCAGTAGTGAATGGAATGGGCTCTCCTGGCCAGGCACCCAGCACTGGTACAGAGAGAAAGGAGAAAGTCACTCCAGCATGTGACATGAGGGGACTACCCACCAGATGTCATACTGTAAAAGCCATATAACGAAGTGCTAACTCAAGGCCGTCACAGGCCGCCCCACTTTTTCGGCCGTTTTTTTTTTTTTTTTTTTTTTTGGAGCACATTACAACAAAGCACAATGATCGCAGGTTAGCGCAAACGTGACAAATCCTTGTCCCCAATCGTGGTTTGTTGCAGAAAAAAGTCTTTCATTGCGGTTACACTGACATGGCACCAAATGCCTGGAAATGCTTGCAATTGGCTTCAATTTTTGAATTTTTTTCCCGGAGGAGGGTAATGTTTGTCAGTGTCTTCTTCGTTTGTTGCAGAATCAAAAAGACTTTCATTGTAATTACCGTACACTGAAATGGCACGAAATACCCGGAAATGCTTGCAATTGGCTTTAATTTTTGAATTTTTTTCCCGGGGGAGGACCCCGGACCCCCCCCCCCCCTTCTATGGCGACCCCACCTCCAAAGTCGGTGCGACGGGCCTGTAACTCTAACGAGTTAACGAGGAGAAATCTGTCGTTAAAATAGAAATCGTTATACAGAAATCGATACATATACCAGGGATCGATTTACTTTGATTTTTTTGCATAGCAGTCACTGCTACACAGTTTTACAATTGACTAGCAACTCCCAGTATTGATTAGCAGTTTTCCTTCATCAAAAGTTTACATGTATAGCTGTACAATAGCAGGATTTCGTACAGAAGAGGACAATAGCTGCAGTTGCTATTTGCTTTTCCAAGCGAATGTTCGACCTGAATATTTACGTTAGAGTTTTCGCTTGGGCACGTTACATGTTCAGCGTCCATCCGACTTCGAGTTCTTCACAACACAATGTCCTTCAACAGGGCAGTTCCACTGATTCCTTCGACAAAGAAACCTCAGGAAAGCACTCAAACGATCGTGACATTTCGTGCAAAGCGCATCGACTGATTTCGCTTTTCTCTTTTTCTTCATCGAAACGAATCGACATTCCTGGCGCGTCCAGTTCTTTGTCTCTCTTCTGGACAGTGAATCACTGATCAGATTCACTGACATGTTGGCTACATGAGACTAAGAACCGTCTACTTCAACTGTGCCTTGTCGAACAGAAACAAACTGAGCTTGAAAGTGAAAGAAGAAAGGAGAACATCAGGAAAAGTCACCGCCGTGTACAAAACTTCAGAAGACTGCAGTCGTGTACGACCAGTGCTAGTCCAGTGTCCAAAATCGAAAGAGCGCGACCCGCGCGCGGACTGAGCAGGAAAGGCCAGTTGGATGGAGTAGTAAAATACTACTCCCTAGTCAGCAGTGTGTACAACAGTCGCATGTAGACTGCACACAACTGGTCTTTGTAGTGCATCGCAGTTTTGGGCGATAAAAAACGAAAAGCGAATCGCAGCCAGTGAATTTTGATTCGCAAACTGCGATGCGAACCCGGATAAATCGATCCCTGTATACTGTCCTATTGAGCGTTGAGAATGAGTGAGAATCGTTACCTTTGGTACACGTAAACCAGTCGATTTGGGGAAATCGTTATATATATGCGCCTCGTTAGAATAATGGCTTTTACAGTACTTGGCTGTGCATGTGGTCAGTGTGGATCAGGGAGTAGTACTATACCGGGAGATCATACGATGAGTACGAGCATACGCGACCAGTTTGTCGATTGTCTCAGACCTGTTTTCACGCGGCGGGTGAGATGGTCGAAATACTTACCAAAGCAATTGAAAACATGTACATGTACATATGCGTGCAGATTGATCCGCGGCATGATACTCTTGAGTAGGGAGTAGTTAAGTATCTACCACTAAAGAGACTCCTGCTGCAGCCTGTACATATTCAGTGCTGAGAAATTCCAACAATAGTTTGCCTTTCGTAGTCAATCAGCCTACCCGTATTTCACGATAAAAGTCAGGCAATAACGGTGTGTCACTTTGGGAGATATTCCTGCGTGCCATGGAATTTTCTGTGTCGATACAAGCTATTCAGTGCCCGGTCAAGTATCGTGCGTACACTCGTGTGCAAAGCCAAGAGTTTGATTTCTCTTGCCTCCACTAAGGTATGTCTGCTTTTATGTTGTACTCTTACGTGTGGCTCTGCTGCTCTTTGGGATTTGGTTGTATTGGCAGGGAGGCATTGCATGAAGATGCCGAGGGTTCGTTGCAAGCAGCTGTTGATGACATCGCACTGCGAGCACAACGGCGAAGGTAATTTCACGCGTACGCTTGGACGTACACGTCTTTTGTACTGTTCTGTACCTGCTTGCGTGCGCGCACGTGTGTTTGACTTGAATTCTTGTGTTGCGTACCGTTTAGTGTTATTCCTACAGAACAATACGCCGCGCTTCACTGATCCGAATGTGTTTTTCATGCATGTGTGTTCCTTGTGCTTTTCCTGGATAGAGCTGCTGACAGGCCTGCCAATGTCCGCTTGGGAATGGTATGTCCACCCTTCAGCCCGAGTACAAATTGTTAGATGATTTGAACACATTATTCCCATTACCACACGGTGCTGTTGACCCGTCTCAACCTGAACGTTTTTGCAGTGGAGCATCGCGTGCACAGTTGTAACCGGCGAAATCCGACACTTGCCATAGGGGAAGCGTGATAAATGGACTTCGATGATGTCATGCTCCGTACAGAACTTTACGACAAAGCCGTATACATCCAAACCAGGTCGATCAGTCACATCGTAGGTCAAGTTAGGAGTATCAGCATCCAGTGCGCAATCATAATATTTTGGAAGTACTCTTGAGCCTTTCAGATGCACCTAGTACCTTGAGTGCACTTGTAGTGCTATACATACAGAGTATCTTTTTTCTATGGGCTAACTTCATGGCATGCTGTCTTCATTACATCATGCAGCTTCATTCTAGGACCCCAGAAAATGCACACACCACACTTTCCGCTGGCCTTGCAACTAACGGAACTGAAGTGTATGTACAAAGTTTACAGATCATGCCTGTGCGTGAACGAATCGAAAACGTGTGTGTTGGTACACAAGTTTTTGGGTTTTGAGTGTACGAATACAGGGCGTTGTGCGGTCAAGATTATTATTATTAGATATGTCATGCACAGGCCTATGTTGACATTAGTTATGTACTCTTGGTTATACTGTAAACCGTGAAATTATTGCGATTGTCTAATTTCTGCGAAATTCGCGACCGCGCGAAAAGGAGATCCATGAAAGGTTTAGCAAGAATGCCACAGGTTTAGCAAGAATGCCATTCTGCAATCGCAAAATTAAAACCTCGCAAACCTGTCCGGATTCTGAAAACGCGAACTAAAAACGCCGCGAAAATTTCACGCTTTACAGTAGGTAAAATATCAGCCAATGATATCATAGCATCCATTGATCTTTTTGCCTGTGTGATTTGGACCAACACTGGAAGACGTATTCATGAGTGGCCAGGCACTTTTCTAAAATATGAAGAGCTTTTTGGATATAAAAAGGAAAAGGATGCATGGATACGAGTTATGAGTAGTTTTTCGTCTTCTTATTTTGATGTGTCAATGTGCTGATAGATGCGTCACTTGTTCATCGTCGTTGATCTGTCCTTGGCCATGCGAGAGGGTGACATGTGGCCCACCAGACTGGATATTACACAGAAGGTGTGGGCTTGTGTGTGTATGTGGGGGGGGGGGGGCTTGTGTGTGTGCGTGCGTGTGTGTGTTTGTATCTGGGTTTGGGTCTGGATCTGTGTGCCTGTGCCTGTGCGTGCATGTGTGTCCGTCTGTGCCTGTCTGTGCTTTCCACAGCCAGGGATGCTCAATGAAATCTGGTCACGTGAGTCAAGTACACGCTGGGCGCTGTACAGCCCTAGACCTGTGAACACCGGGGCTGTGCTCTACTAGTGCAGGGCACCGCCAACTTGACTCACGTGATCGGATTTTAATTTTAATAACGGTATGCATGGTTGATTTGTGTACGGTATGGAGTGAGCTCAACCGTTTCTTTTTCTTGTTAACATCGTAGGCATGCTGGGCAGGAGGTAGAGGGACAGCTAGAAAACCCCAGACCGTTCACAGATATAAGTTTATTGATCCGACCTCCCTATAAGTGTTGATCAGAGTGACTTGAGGAAGGCGTTGATACCCAGTGCATAGTACTAAACGTGCTATGCGATTTTGTTGTGCTTACTGTTCCAACCACATGGCATGTGTGACATCAACACCCATCCGAATTGTCATGCAGTGTATGGCAATTCGGATGGATGTTGTCTCGTTGCCGTTGGTGTGACATTGCTACATGGTTTCGATGTCCTTTTTTCCTGTGTCTGCCGCTTGTAGCTGTTGAAAGACTTCCTATCGGAGTATTTCAATCAGAACCCAATTTCCCAGGTCAGTTGCACTTCTGTTTGCTAGTAGCATACGGGATGTACATGGTATGTGGCCGCTTCTTGCTGTATGCAAGATATTCTTCTGTCTCCTGTGTACCACTTCTCCTTGCACTGAACAAGACACATGAGCCATTTTCGCATGGCGAAAGGCTAGTGGAATGCTTAGTAGGTAAACGCATGTTGAGGTATCGCTCAAGTAGCACTGACTGAAGGGCGTTTTGTCACACATATAGGGTGCAACAACTAGGCACAAAACTGACAGAGCACTGAGACATTCGACAACCTGACACCTAGCTCCAACACATCTCCGGTGCGCTAACTAACAGCCTTCCAACTCGAAGGTTCTAGGCTTAGGAATGACCAACTGTGTTGGGGCTAGGTGTCAGGTCGTCGAATGTCTCAGCACTCTGTCAGTTTTGTGCCTAGTTGTTGCACATTCTGACTGTACACAGTATGTAGTTACAATGGTGGACGGTTACTCTTAACTCGTATCCATATGTCCTTTCCTTTCTACGTTCAATTTGTTCCAGATCTTTCCTTGGTGTCTTGTTTTCTGTAGCTGAACCATAACTTGTGCCCACATGACATTGTATTGTGATAACTTGTGCCCACATTATACAGGTAGACTCCCTCTAATTCGAATACGGTATAATTCGAACATTCCGTGTAATTCGAACTTTTTCGTCGTACCGATCTTCTGCAAGTCACTTCAAGTCAAAATCGAATGCATAATTCGAAGTACGAAAAGTGCGCCGGTTGGATAATTCGAACCCAGTCTTCGTACAGAAGAGCTGTTTACAGTACATTGGCTATGTCCTTTGAACGCTTATTTCGAAGTGAGATTGAGTTGCTATCCTTGTAATTCGAAGTTCATTCTTTTCTCCTTCTCTAGCCAAGAGTAGCTCAAAAATCGATCGATGGTCCGCTGCAGGATCGACTATAGCGCTCAAGAAACCCACCTTCTCTCGAAATTTCTTTCAAGCTCGTGCGAGGCAAATTGCAAAGGTTTGATTGAAGACGATGTCTTCCAGGTGGCTGACTCTCTTCGCGGATCTCGATGGCCTTTCTTGCCGCGCCAGCTCGTGCGCGGAGATGTTGGCGCACAAAAACACTATTGTCGTAAATATTGTCTATGCCTATGCTCCACTTCCGTTCTCCAGAACGACGTGCTGCTGTCCGACGGCCTTTCATGACGCGGATTAGGCAGCGCAGTTCTTTTCCGTTGAAATTGTTTCAGGAAAGCTGCAGTGACTGACAACTTCTCCACTAGAAAATGAAGATGTCAAAATGATTTTGTTTCGATCCAGTGGTTTGATGATCCGTTGTACACGACCGGTACGACCACCTTGCACCTATGTTTCGTTGATGCAAATAAAAATGTGCAAAAAATATTCAGCATGCGATTTCAAGCATTTTGACATACATATCAGTGCATGGGGCTGCATTTGGATAATTAGAAGTTCTGGATAATTCGAAGTTAGGGCCTGGCAATTTGAGGTTCGAATTAAAGGGAGTCTACCTGTATTGTATTACATTCTATCCAGGTTGGTGTAATCATCACTAAGAATGGAAGAGCTGAACGAATCACAACGCTCAGTGGTAAGGCAGCTATTCCTTGTTTCACATTCATTTGCGGGTAATGGCCTTATCGGTCGTGTTAGGTAATCATGGATTTCTTTGGCCCTGTCCAGTGCCCATTTCTGTTCTTCGCATGGTTTAAATCATGGCAAGTACCTATTCAACAGGGATGTGTCACATTCGTATCTTCTTCGGCATCTTCGGCATCTTGCGCAAATGTTGTGCCGGTATGTTACATGTGTATTGGTGTGATTCCATGCAAATTTATAGAAAAAGGACCAAGGAACTACAAGTTACGCTATAATGTACACTAACACCACCAGTTCCTAAACAATCAGCTCATGCGATAACATTGCACGACACTGACCGACGGTACTGACGTTCTACAACTAACTGGCTAACAGCTCTAGCACATCTAGGATGCGCACTCCAACAGCCTTCCAATTTGGAAGGTTCTAAGTTATAGAAATAACATGAGGAGCCCCCCCCCCCCCCAAGTTGGAAGGCTGTTGGAGTGCGCATCCAAGATGTGCTAGAGCTGTTAGCCAGTTAGTTGTAGAACGTCAATACCGTCGGTCAGTGTCGTGCAATGTTATCGCATGAGCTGATTGTTTAGGAACTGGTGGTGTTAGTGGACATTATAGCGTAACTTGTAGGTCCTTGGTCCTTTTTTCTTCTATAAATTAATCCTTGGCTCTCCATCCGAGTCAATTCCATGCAAATTGTTTTGAAAAATTGTTTTTGTTTTTGTTTTTGCTCTTGACAGGGAATTCTGCCTTGCATTTGCAATCCCTGGAAGGTGCTGCAAACTGTGCGGGTGAGCCATCACTTCAGAATGCTTTGGACATGGCCACTGGCATATTGAAGTGAGTATTTGCAGTTGCTACATGCATTAGGCTTGCCGGTTACTGTCAGAATCCGTTTTGAGGGAAGGGTGCTGTTTGCTGTGGCCACATTTTCGATAAGTGGATAATGTCGCAGTTACCACTGTCTGTTTTGCTTATTGTCTTCAGTGTCAAGCGTTGCAGTCTGTTGAGTTATTCTTCTTCTTGCTGTTCTGTCGTGGAAGTTTTCATTCTTCTGGTGCGTGGGTGGTTGCATGCATGAGTGTGTGTGTGCGGTAGCGCGCGTGTGGTAGTGTGCGTGTGGTAGTGTGCGTGTGGTAGCGTGCGTGTGGTAGCGTGTGTGTGGTAGCGTGCGTGTGGTAGCGTGCGTGGGTGGGTGGTTGGGTCAGTACTGTGCATTCGTGAATCCCCTATTAGAAATGAGACTTTGATATCTTAGTGCTGTAATTATGTGTTTCTTCTCCAACTTTGGTTTTTTATTAGTTTCTTTGTTCCGATTTGTTCCTTAGTACTTGTATAACGATAATTCCTGAAGAGTGCTTGCTCTTTTTTAGGGCTGAAACGATCATCCATTTAGCCCAATCGATTACTCTTTATCATAACGATCGATTATTCGATTATAATCTTTAAGAGGCCGCACCTGGGATATGTACGTGGAATGGTCAAAGTGGAAATATGTACACAATTTTGCACAAAAATGTTTTGTGGCATGATTGTCCACTAATGGGCAGCGTTACAAACAACAACTAGCCAACAATGGCTGAGAGTGATGCGGAATGTTCGATAGCACTGCCAAGACATGTAGCTAATAACAAAACGTGGAATGGATACGTTGGATTGCCAGTATGAAAATTTAATGTCACATAACAACAAATACTTCTTCCTAAGCTCTTAGAAGTACATGTACATGTATTAACTAACGTTTGTGCACACTGAGTATACATGATTCAAGCAAGGCAAGCACCATTACGGCTGGGCAGTGGTACAAATTGTTACTCCAAAGGTAGACTGGGAAGCGTGAGCTAGGCATCATCATCTTCTTCCTCTTCCTCCTCGCAAAGCTCCACCTGCTGTGTTGCTGCAGCCAAGGCTGTTGGCAGCTCACCAACATCAGTCCTTACCACTTTGTGGCAAGCACGGAGTGACATGTTCTTGTTCAAGAAGATCATTGCATCAATGGTGGCTGGGCTCAATGCGCAGCGGAGCTTGTTAACTAGCACACCGCATGCAGAAAATACTTGCTCCGATGGCACAGATGAGCCCGGAATGCAGAAGTACTTGAGAGCTAGCTTGCCAAGCAGGGGAAATCGATTTCCGTTCGTCTTCCACCACACAAGTAGGTCGGTGTCGCTTGGGCATTGGCGCTCGCTGAAAAACATGGCAAGATCCTCTTCCACGTTGCTGGCTGCTCCAGCTGTAGATGATGGTGAAGCCTGTCTCAGCAGCATATCAAGCCCGGATGCAGCACCAAATGCGACAGAGGCTGCCATACTGCCCGCTGAAATGCTTGCTACGCTGTCCATCTCTTGGACATTGTTGATGTTGACATTGCAAGCACCTGATCTTTCAGGTTACTCTTCACAATCTCGGGAGGGATGGCCAGTTGATCCAGGAAATCAAGGGAATGAAAACGCGGATCAATTGCTGATGCAATAACTAGAGGTGATGCTGGGTCCATTGTGTCCAAGCCAAACTTTGCAGTGAGGGCATCGGCTAGTTTGGACCGTAGATCAGCAACAGAAGCGGAGAAATCACCTGCCTGATGTAGCTGCTCATGGAGAGATGTGATGACAGGAAAGACAAGCGATACTGTCACATATTTTTGCCCACTGAAGACCGTTGTGGCAACCTGGAATGGCTTCAGCACCTTGATCAGCTCCTCGATGACGTCCCAGTCACTGTTCGAGGGCATCAAGTCTCTGTGCTCCTTCTTCTTTGCCACAGAAAGCACAGCAGTCACGGCTTGGCGAACAGTAAGGAGCCTCTCCATCATCAGGTATGCCGAATTCCAGCAAGTTGGTACGTCTTGGACTAGCTTCAAGCAGCCAAGGTCAAGCTGTGCCTCCCTCCTCAGTAATTCCTCTGTAGCTTGGTTGCTATGCCTGAAATAGCAAACAACTCGGCGGCAGACAGCTAGGAGTGCGTGGATAGGGCTACCATCCAATGCCCGACGAATGGCAGTTTGCAGGAGGTGAGCAGAGCAGGCAAAACTACTCCTGCCAAACTTTTCTGGCAACATTTTTCCAGCCAGGACAGTATTGGCAGCCTCATCCTGTACGATACCGATTACCTGGCCAGACTTGATTGTGAACATGGCAAGCGCTTCCTCCACCTTGTCGACAATCCGATTGCTAGTGTGACTCCCAGGAAAGTGGCACGTTGTGAGAACGACACTAGCCAGGTTCCCAGTTTTATCCACAAAGTGGCAGGTAACTGTCATGAATGACTGCGCAGCTCTTGAGCTCCATGCATCTGTCGTCAAACAAACCCACGAGACCTTTTGCAGAATCTTTTGCAGCTCAGTCTTCCCTTCTGCATGACGCGTGAGCAGCAGTCTGGTGAGGTGCGTCCTAGACGGAACAACATATCCAGGCATAACGAACGCAAGCAGCGATTTCAGGCCAGCATCACCTATGATGGAAAGTGGACGCAACTCACGACTGACCCAGTCCACGAGCAGATCCGTTATTTGCGTTGCTGTGGCCGGTGTGCAGGTCTTTTTAGCTGCTACTGGAGTGGACACAAAAAGTCAGTAATGGTCTTCTTCGAAGGTGATTCCTCTGCCTCTTCCCCAAGCACTTTAGGATGAACCCGTCTCAGATGCTCCTTGAGATTAGTGGTTCCACCTGTGTACGTGAACTCTTTGTTACAGTGTTTACATTTCGTCGCGCCGTCCTTGGGCTCGGAGAAGCTCTCCCAAACGACAGAACGCTTAGCTCTCTTCATGCTACTCGAAACGACGGGGAATATTGAAGTGCGCTGCTACCTACTAGATCGACGATGACAGAGTAAACTATTTTACTTTTACCCGCGTAAGTCCAACCAGTAAAATTCCTCGCTTGAAGTGTGAACTGTACGTGTGCTGTTATGTATGTAGACCGGACGCGACCTTGACCTTCGAGCTTCATGCTCCAGCTTCGTTGTACTACACTACAGTCCATTCAGAAAAGGTTGAGCGCTGGCTCTGGAGAGCTCCCGTGTTTGGCGATTTTGTGGTACACTGTGCAGTGCCGCGCGATTCGAAACTTGAAAAAGGGTCCGAAAAGGCACCTCAACTGGGGTTCGAACCTCAAATGTACTGTTATGCAAGTGGAGTGAACTTTTCATGGTTTTTACTCAATTCAGTGCTTTGGGGGCAAAACCTGGCCGAAATCCTATTCTTGTTATGGCTTGCTTTTTTGGAGAAATAGACTTCAAAAACACAATTGGAAGAGCATTCCATGGGGGATTGCCAAAAAAAGGAGACGAAAACTCAAAAATTGACCCGTTTATGGCCAAAAGCTAGGATATCAACCTTTTCTGAATGGACTGTAGGACTGTACTCGATGTTTGAACTCACGCTGCATGCACTGCGCGTACTCTGTCCTGAGCGGCTGCGACGCAGCGCGTGCAGTGTGTAGTACTGTGTACTATAATTATATACTCTGCGCTGCATGCACTGCGCGTATAATAAATTAAAAATTTTAAAAACGCGAAATAATCGTAATCGGTAATCTAAACGATTGCTCGATCGTTAGAGTTATCAAACGAGTACTCGATTATTCGGTATAATCGTTTCAGCCCTACTCTTTTTTGTTCTTTTTTTGTTTCCACCTCACTGGTTACCGAGCAAACTGCTAAGTAATTTGCACACACAAGTGAATCTGTTTAGGAAAGTGTTGGAATGACAGTGCGACTGTGGTGGCACAGGCAGAAGGGATCGCATTGCTTGTTCCCAGTGTTGACGAAACGAAAAGCACGGTTCTCAGTAGTGTCTGCTTTGCTTTGCTTCTTGTTCAGGAATATGCCTGGCCATAGCAGTCGTGAAATACTGGTGATCCTTGGCAGCTTGACATCATGTGATCCAGGTGATATCTTTCAGACCATTGAGGTACATACTCTTGCTGCATGCACTACTGAACTTTCATGATGGGTCCTACCTTAACTTCTGTATCTACTTATAGCTACTAGCATTGCCATAAAGAAGGTTTCTAGCATCTTGGTACTTGTGTACATGTGTGTGCAAGTGGCTGGCTGGCTGGCTGGCTGTGCCCTTGCATGCATGCGTGTGTGTTTTTGTGTGCGTGCGTGCGCGCGTGTGTGTGTGTGTATGTGTGTGTGAGTGCGCGTGTGTGTGTGTGTGTGTGTGTGTGTGTGTGTGTGTGTGTGTGTGTGTGTGTGTGCGTATGTGTGCGTGAGTGTGTGCGTATGTGTGCGTGAGTGTGTGCGTATGTGTGCGTGAGTGCATGTGTGTGTGCGGGTCAGTATACATACATGAGCGCACAAGTGTGCAATTGAACATTGACTTGCTGGCAGCTTCTTACCAGGCTGGACTGCCTTTTCACTTGTGGTGTATGCTTTGCCCATATACTTTCGCTTCTTTCGCTAACCATCCTCTTCACCACTGAATAGCTCGATATCTGCTGTGTACTGCTTCACACACCCGTGCGAGCGTGCTCCGCTTTCGTCCACTCACCACCACCTGCTCCAATGAGATAATCTGTGTATTCTGTGCATGTGTTGTCTCCTTCACTTCAGGACATGAAGACAGCTAATGTGCAATGCTCAATTATAGGCTTGGCAGCGTCAGTGTTCATCTGCAAACAAATCTGTGAGCAAACAAGAGGTAAAGTGATCACTGTTAACTTGCTTTCAAACATCCTCTGCTGCTTAGACCCTGTTGGCTGCTTTTATCATTTTTCCAGGCAGGCAAGCATGTCTAACAGTGGACAGTCAGTATCTTGGACTGTGCAGCTATCCCCTCCTCTTCGACCATGCCAATTCACACGCTCCCCCTGCACGGGTAAGAGGGGGGGGGGGGGGGGGGGGGGGTGTCATTGGCTCCAGCTTTTTTCTTGTCTGATATTTGAGCATTGCTCTTGAGCTTGCTGTGCAGTATCAGGTAGTGAAAGCAGTGTAGTCTGTGTTGTGTTGGAAGCTTTACCCACAGATTCCATAGGACACAAATACGTGATATATGATAGGAACGGAAAGAATAACGACGATCTGTGACTGACATGACAAAGGGAAATTAGCAACTCTCTGAACAGGTGGGCATGCGTGCATATACGAAAGAGCATGCACGAGTCCCAAGTAGTGTATACATGCGTACATTTTATAAAAGGATGAACATCAGTATAGAGACATCTATATGCATAACCTCAATCTGCGGACAGCAGAACTGTTTCGTCCTTTGTGGACGCATCAGCGCAGCACAGAGAAAATGAGGCCGAACCTGATAGCAATGAAAAATAAATTTTCCAAATTCCAAATTTTTTTTATGGTTTGTGCTGTTTTGGCAGCATGGTGCGCTCTGCTACCCAGAAGAACTGCACATGCTGCCCACCTGCAACGATAGTAACATGTGCTCTTATTGGCCACAGGCCATCGTGAGAATTAGGGTGCGTTCTTAAATTCTCTAGCTTCTAGGAGAAGAAGAAAAGAGAAGTCGAAGAAACTGGGATTCTTCAAGAACGGGTCTCGAAGAATTCGGAGATATTTTGCAGATGTCAAGCAAAATGAAGCGCCAAAGGGGCCGCGATCTTGAGTGCCACGAATATAGTATGTGCTGTGCGTATGCGAAAAGGGGAATGCGTACACTCATGATCAACACGTGGCTTTTAGCCTAGTTCGCATGCGCTGATCCCAAACCGCGGGAATCTCCAAGTTTCAACCACCTCTGAAGCTTGGAGAGCTTGGAAAGCTTTGGAGAGCCTCCTAAAATTCGGAGAGGATATAATAACAGCTCTCGAACTTTTCGGAGAGTCTCCAACTTTTCCGAGAGGATTTAAGAACGCACCCTTAAAGATTTCAATGTGCATGTGGGTGTGTGTGTCTGGGTATGCGTGCATGTGTGTGTTTGTGCCGTGTGTTTTCCTACTTCCTCCAGGAACGTACACAGTGGCACTGGATGAGACTCATTTCAGAGATTTACTGTTCAGACATGTTCCACCGCCGCCAGCAGAGGTGAGTCTGGTCGTTTGAAGCATACCTGTAGATGCAGGTGTATGTCAACAATGTGCACACAAGGTGTTGAATCACTGCCACAATGGTGGACCATTGTCTAAGAAAAAAGGTGGACCATAAAGAAGTTCTTTTTCGGCCAGATTTAGCATTGATAATTGTGCAGACACACTGGTCCAAACCCCCTTTGTGGCCAAATTAGAGTTGGGGTTTTGAGCCCATTTTGGCCTAAATCGGATTTGACAAGGCCAGAGATGAATTATTTCTGAATGGACTGTAGAGGTGAAGCAAGCGACAGACATTTCTTACGTATCTTTTCTTCTCTTGTGCTTGGCCATTGTGTTGCAGAGTGGAATGGAGGCGTCGCTGATTCGCATGGGTAGGGAAAAGCTGCTTTCAGTGCAACACATAGTCCGTACTCAGTACAGCCCTAGTGAAGTCACATGGTTCTGTATAATAGTCCATGTATGACCTGGCCCTAGCGAAGTCACATGGTTTTTGTCTATGGTATGCACATCACCTGGCCCAGTCAAGTCGTATGATTTGGCCCAAGTACGATTGAATTTTCGAATGCACAGAGGTAGGCAGCCTTGCACTGTCGAATGTTTGTTTGGGTATTTGCTGCACGCTGTGCCTACTAGTCATCATGGATAGATGAGATGAGTTCTTTGAAGTTTCTAGAGATGGAACACATTATCGACAGGTTCTGCAGCTTCTGCTGAATGCAAAATGTGTGATTCTGATTCATATATTTGTTTCTTGGTGTCTTGTCTTGTTTCTGCTCCAGGTTTCCCACAGCATCATGCTGGATCCATACCATCTCTCTGTGCTTGGTATGTATCTAAGTTTAGTCGCATCACTGCTTGGTATGTATCTAAGTTTAGTCTCATCACTGCGTGGTATGTATCTAAGTTAAGTCTCATCACTGCTTGGTATGTATCTAAGTTTAGTCGCATCACTGCTTGGTATGTATCTAAGTTTAGTCTCATCACTGCGTGGTATGTATCTAAGTTAAGTCTCATCACTGCTTGGTATGTATCTAAGTTTAGTCGCATCACTGCTTGGTATGTATCTAAGTTTAGTCGCATCACTGCTTGGTATGTATCTAAGTTTAGTCGCATCACTGCATTGCCTCGTGTCTACATTCTGGGATCACAATTTCCTGATACCATATTTTCCGGAGTATAAACCGTACCCCCCCCCCATTTTTTGCCACGAATACAGACATCTACCCTATTTGTCACCGTTAATTTGATCGTCAGAGTATAAGTCGCAACCCCCCTTTTTTGGGTGAATTTTGTGTGTTCAAAGTGCAGCTTATACTCCGGAAAATACGGTACAATTCCCTGTACTGTCGGCCATTCGCCATTGGGCATGTTAGCTCCTGGCGCAAAGGGACGGTCACAGAGTTTCCCTTCCCTTTCAGAAAGACATGCATTAATTTTTAAGTTGTACTTGATGTGTTTTGTCTTTGGCAGCCATGTGGAAACACCAAATCTCACGTATCAAGGTTACTTCTGTCCACAGGTAAGTATTTTTTAGATTCTAATGGTGTTGCGGTGGGACTCAAAGGTCATGTGTTTCTTTTAACTTTCTTTTCCTGGTTGAGCATCTTCCCGTTTAGTCATTCTCCTTTCTCAACCGTTGTGTATATGCATAGGTGCTAGGTGTGTGCATGTTGCGTACACGTACACATACGTGTGTGTATGTGTGCGTGGATGCATGTGTGGGTGTGTGGGTGTGGGTGTGTGCGCGCGTGCGTGCATGTGTATGTGCATGCATGCACGTGGGATTGTGCAGGTGTCTGTGTGTGTGGGTGTTTGCGTCTCTTTTATGAGCGAAATATTTTTTCCCAAGTGTTCCACAACATTTAAAAAAAAAACCAATAGGCAAAAGGCCAAATCGCAGCAGCATAATATGTACGTATATCCACTTTATATCCACTTAGGTAAGCAACAGCAAGTTAGCAATGCACTCTATCTTTGCCATATTATTGACATGCAAGAAAGTCCTTGTGTTTTAAGTTAATGTTATCTTCTGGTTTGTTGATGTTGTTGTGTAGTGCAAGACTAAGTACTGTGACCTTCCTGTTGATTGCAAAGCCTGCCGTAAGTTGTGCATGTAGTGTGCTCTCTTAGCTAGTGCTGCTAGTTGTGTCAGGCTCATACTGCAATTTGTATTGAGATTTTCCAGTGTACATAGTGACAGTCATCATGAAGCACTGCTGCTCATAGTTTGGTGTGTCACTGGAATATGAACGTGGGCAGCTGAACTTGACTACCAGATTTGGCATGCGCCTCTTTCAACTTCGAGTTCACCAAGTTTAGCCCCAGCCAATGTTTGTACATCATTGGTTGGGCCATTGCATCTACGAGGGCTCAGTAGCCAGCTTTGTCCGTCTCCCTGTGCTGAGTAGCTAGCGTCTTTGTGTATTCTACCACATGCTTATGTGTCTTTTCTCAATACACTGCTTATGCGTCTGTGTTGCTATCATGTTTTCTGGCTGCACAGAGCTGACTTTAGTCTCAGCACCACACTTGGCTCGTTCCTATCATCATCTATTCCCACTGCCGTCCTTCAAGGAACTGCAGGTCAAGGACACACCAGCCGTGTAAGACAATGTGTGGGAGTTGTGCACTCTTGTGCAGTTGTGCCGTGCGAAGTCTTGCTGCAGATGTAGTTCAAACATACAATACACAGGTGAAGAAAGTGTCTGCTCTGAACGTCAGAGCTCGCGCATCCTGCTGACTGACTTGACACTTGACTGACTCACGACTGCGTCTGGAGCACACGAGAAGCCCATCGAGCCTTCCACTCGGCAAACCTGCAAGAAAGCACCACTCCCTGCTCAATACACAGTGTTTCGGGGAATTCACCTTTCACAAGTTGAACTTGTCGTGGGTCAGTGAGTGTCAAGTCAGTTGGCAGGAAGCGTGAGCTCCGACGTCCGGAGTAGACACTTTCTTCACTGATCACCGCCGATGTCGCAACTTATTTCGTACAATACACGGGTGCTGGGTAAATCCGCCCATTGCAGTGGAATGCCAATTGCCCGAACGTCATCTATTCCCAAATGATCAATTGTCGGAAACATTTGGTCACAGTGATTTGAGGGGGATAAAATGAGTTTTTCTCTTCTGTTGTTTCTTCCTGCCCGGAACACTAGGACACTGTTGCACAGGATGCATGACACCAATGTGTCGTCAAAAGTTAAACCTTTCTCCATTGCTAAATTCAAGGAGCAGAAGTTTGTCGTATTCCTGTGGCACTGACGAACTAGAATGAGACATAATGAAAGCAGGAGGGCGTTGCCCCCTCCCCCCCCCCCCCCTTATCCGAACAACTTCCCATCTGAACCCTCTGAACCCCTGGAGACAGCAGCCTGCACCCGGAGGAGTACGGATGATCGGGAGCGGCACTCTACTGGAAACGAAGCAGCACTGTTGCCTTCAAGCACATGGGCCAATGTCATGTTAACACTACTGTAGAGCTGTGTCAGCGCTGTCCACTGTAACTCTTCTATTGGGTTTTAGTGATGGGAATTCCTCTGGCCAGCCCTGTAGATCAGTGGTGATAAGTGAACTTTCTTTCGTTGCTATCAGGCAGGCTCTAAAGCCTTTCATCCTGTACTGTAACAGGAATCACAGCACATGCACAGTGTTGTTCAGCAGCAGAGATATGTCGTTATCCTTGTGGCACTGCGCCGACTCCCAGTCTCCGGCTGGTGTGAATAGCATGACAGCCAGCTGGTGCAATTGTTGCACAGCTCCGGTCAGCAAGCCTGCTGACCAGTGCCAACATCAGTGGCGGGTCCAGCAATCTCTACAAGGGGGGGATTCCAGTTTAGCCAAAACTGAATAGCTGATACGGTTTCTAGTAGTACATTTACGAAAATTAGGGTTCCCCTGGAACCCCTGGACATCAACCAGCCATATAAAGAGACTACATTTTTTGTTTTGTTTTTGTTTTTTGTTTTTTTTTGTAGAGCATATGATTTCATGGCACTTTTTTCAGTTTGTGAATAGGGGGGGGGGGGGGGGGGGGTATATATTGCTGCCACACATACGTTCTCTTAACTTTGGGCGATTTCCAATCATTGTTGCAAAACCTCCAATGTGCTCTTTCCAATGTGCTCTTTGTGTGTGTGTGTGTGTGTGTGTGTGTGTGTGCGTGTGTGTGTGTGTATGACAATGTGTCCTTCCGTGTGCCTGCACACTTACAGGGTGTGTTGTGGATGTCAGCTCCAGCTACAGAACACTCTGGTGAGCACAGTGTGTATTGGGGAAAAAACAGTTTCTTGTCTCCAACTGAAATGAACACCACCACATTTTCATCATCATAAATATTTTAGCGTTGACTTGTGATTGCATTGTAACTCGTTTGGAGATAGCATCTTTGTGAATGACCAAGGGTACTGAATGCTTGAGTTTCATGATTGAACCCCCCCCCCCCCCCCCCCCCCCAGAAATCAAAGCACTTTTGCATTAGCAACTCAAGCTGGAGGTGCCCAGTAGAGAGATATGCCCGTATCTGAGGTATCCGGATAAGAGACTTTTGAGTGTAGTTCAATTTCGCAATTCAGATTTGTGTTAACAGTGAAGTTGCCTGTCCTGTGTGTGTCCCGATCCGCAAAGGGCTGACATTGCACCTATTCCTTCTCCACAGTGGATCAGTAATGGAGGCGCTTACAGTTTGTCTTGCTTTAATATTTCATTGTCTAGCACGCTGGTTTGTCGCTGCATCAATACTCTTGGGATTGCTGTGTGTTTGACTGTTTGTCTCCCTGTCCTGCATCAATATTATAGTTATTGCTGTGTGTTTGACTGTTTGTTCCCCTATCTTGCAGGCGTACATGTGCCCCAACTGTCAGAATCACCTGTGTAGTGACTGTGATGTGTACGTGCACGATTCCCTGCACTCGTGCCCAGGCTGCTGCAGCTCAGCCATCACCCCCGCCACTGTGGCAGGCATCGGGTAAGGAGTTCTGCATCACCGTCATCACCGACACTGCCACCACCACTGACACACTCACCGTGGTGCAGCTCTGTACAGCTGGCTGTGTGCTGGGTTGCTAGTCAGTCGTGACCTGCCGACTGGCTGTGTGCTGGGTTGCTAGTCAGTCGTGACCAGCCGACGGCACAAACAGGAACACTGACTAGCAACCCATGAGATATGAAAGCTTTGAACTCCAGCTGTGCTACCTGTCAGCTAGCTGAAATGCCCAGTCCTGGTACATGAATCTAGTGGGAGCTGAGCTGAAGGCGGAAGCTAACGGGTAGTGTTTTGACAGATCCTGCTGGTGTGGTGCCATTCCCTATTACCTCAAGTTGCTCATCCTAGTGTGGAAATACAATTACTTTAAAGGGTAACTTTACATTACTCCAACCTACAAGGTAGGCCCGCGGGAGCAATACTGTGAGCAGGGAGTTTGAGTGGAATGTGTCTCCGGCTCAAGTGGCCCCAGAGTTCTGGCCGAAGTGTGCCCTGACTGTCAGTTGCCCACAGTTCATCATTAGCTAATTAATGTCAGTTAACTGTTTCTTTTGTTCCCAAACTCCACTTGTCATTGTAATCGTCTTGCTACTTACCGCCCAGGTGACTTTCCCAGTTCCGTGACAGGTGGTCTATTGGCTAGTTGCCTTTGAATTTGCATTTGCAATCACCTTGCTACTTATCCCTCAGGCGACATTCCCTAGTCCGTTACAGGTGGTCTTTACAGGTGGTCGATTGTCTATTTTGCCTGGGCTTTACAGGTAGTCGATTGGTTAGTTGCCTCGGGGTCTCTACCGTCCCTTGTCTGGCTTAAAAGTTTTCACTGTTGTCCCAGTGGGTTTTATGCAAATCAAAGCATCTAAAAAGATGTATTTTTTATCACAGTATCCGCTTCTACCTGTTATTCCCAACGCTTTACGTCTACGTTGCTATGGTTTTATCTCAGCTGCACTTCAGTCGTCTCATTTTTACTGCCAAGAATTCTTAGTTGTGGGTTGCTTTAGTCGCTGCCTCTCTTTCTTCTTGAAAGCTCCCTGTCTCCAGGCTCTTATCTGCGTTATTGATTGTTAGCGTGTTGTCAGCAGTTGTCTAGTGTCATACAGGAGCGGGGTAGCGTTTACACGAGTAACGAGTGTACTATACACTGCTATGTTAGTAGGTCGCTCGTCGACCAGAGATTGTTTCATCCATGTACCTCTGAAAACATGCCCTACAGCCTATGTCGCCAACATGCAGCATACAATAACTCTTTTGGGGGGCATCCGGCATTATCGATAATTTCACAGAACGAAAAAGTTTAGTTATGAGAACTTATAAGTATAACCCTCCCCAGCCACCCAGCACCTAAACGAAACTATATTGACTTGACAGCTACGATGGAGTGATGTGTCAGCAAACCTATATATTTAACCAAAAACGAAACTTTCCTCGACTCACCCACCCACCCAAAATCGAAACGCTTTTGTTTTGTGTAAGAGATCAATACTTACGGACTTCCCCTTATGTATAAGGGGGAAGGCCAACATGTTACGAGTTATGACTAGCGGTCTACCAATGTAACCAGATTATACTGTTAGACCTGTAAATTTAGTGAGGGAGCAAATCTAACGTTTTAACAAGTGACATTTCTGTTGAGGCTGTAAGTACATGAATAGAATCACCGCTTGACCTTATTTGCGCTTAAATTCTCTGATTCCACTAGCACCTTACCACACTATATCAAGAACATTCATTGAGTTTTTGTATTCATTGCTGTCTGATGATCGCCACAGGCGTGAAACTCTGAGTCACAGCCAACCCAAGCTCCGTATCCCATTCTATTCTTTTTGTAAGACCTCATATTATGGTATGTGCGGATATGCCTGAAGACTGCAAGATCGTGTGACAACAAGGCACCAAACTGACAGGGAGTACTGAGACATTCAACAACCTGACATCTAGCTCCCAATATCTACGAATTGTGAACCAACAGCCTTCTAACTAGGAAGGTATAGGTATGGAAAGGTCCAATGTGTCATCATAATTATTGTAGCATTCAGCATTCTTTATTGCCGTGGGACATAGCTCGTGCGCAGCTTCGTTGCACTTTCCTTTCCCTCTTCGGCCATTTCCGTACCTGAAACTGCCAAGTTGGAAGGTTGTAGGTTTGCGCTTCGTACATGTGTTGGAGCTAGGTGTCAGAATGTCTCCTTTTAACATTGTGGACCGCTGGTCATAACTCGTAACAATTTGTGCTTCCTTTTATACATGAGTACTATTGGCTCGCCATCTGAGTTCATTTTTAAATATCTTCATCAATTATTACCCTGTCACACACACACACACACACACACACACACACACACACACACACACACACACACACACACACACACACACACACACCCACGGTTTTGTGCACGCACGTTCTTGGATGGGTTGCGGAGTTTGAACAGTGAGAGTGTGCAAAGCGCATACAGCGTCCAGCAATGCATGCGCGGAGGGTGGAATGCAATAAAGATGGATCTCCAGTGCAAGGAAGAAGCCTGATTGCAGGAGAGGAAGTGGAAAATATTATCAATTTATCATTATGTGATCAGTCAGAGAACAGAAGGAAAGTCCATGATGGTGTTAGGACACAGGTTTGGGGAGAAGTTGATGTCATAGCACGATAATGCATGCAGTGAACAGCGACACTGTGTCATGCACACACACACACACACACAATGGCACAAGGCCATCATACTACAACACGGAGAAGAAAAACAAAAAACCGGCCGGGGAGATGGCATCTTCCGAAATCATGCAAGCTGTGAATGGGTGTGAACTGAAGGTGGTGACGTGACGGTGGTGGTGATCGTATTAGTAGCTCTGGATGTGTTCTTTGCACTGCGTGTACACTGTGGCATCCTGGCATAATACCGGTAGTACATTATGCAGACTTATCTATAGATTATCATCTACATGTAGGCCTCTGTGCTTACCTAACACATGCAGTTGACCTTTCTTATGCTAAATAACCAACAAAAAAACAAGCAGAGTGTTTGCAATAACAGCAGCAGCAGCAGCAACAAATGCAACAATGCAACAAACCACTTTCTCTATGAATTGAACTCGATGAGAGTGTAGATCGGAAGGGATAGCTGGTATGGTGGAGATAGCAATGACTGGCGCTCGGCTTACTTCCTGCGGTACACGGCCACGTGCGGCATGATAAGCTGGTACTTGCGATAGTGCTCTCGGATCACCAACGGAAGGCTGGCTTCGTAGAGGAGCTCAAAGTTGTCACCCAGCACCTTGGTGATGGTGCTGCTGGCACGCACGTCCACCTGGGTACTCTCATCCTGGTATCCACCCAGCCATTGACTCTGTGGTGTGAAATCATCCATCCACGTGCACGGTGATGTGAAGATAGCAATGCCACCAGGCCTGACCAGAGTTACGAGCCGCTCCAGGAGAACCTGTGGCTTGGGCAGTCGGCACAGCAGATTCAGCATCAGGACGGCGTCAAAGTCACCAAGGTCATCCCGCAGTGCACAGGCGTCACCCTCTTCAAACTTGCAGCGGTTGCGATTGATGTTCGGATCAACTACGGCCTCGTGGCTCGATCGGATGTTGCCTTCCACTTTTTGAGTGTACGGTAGCTTGCCGTGCTTCTGCAGCTTCTGGCAAGTTTCAACGAAAGCAGCGCTAAAATCGATACCAATCACTTCGTCGAACTTGCGAGCCAGCTCAAATGAAGCGCGCCCCACAGCACAACCCAGATCAAGAGCACGGCCTCCTTGCGGGCAGTACTTGAAACTCAACTCGGAACATCTCTTCGGCCAGCTTTCCGTTGCACCTGGCAGCACGATTCCATCGTGAGGAAACAAGTCGGCGGGCTCGGCAAAGTGCAGACTCAGGTACTCATGGATATAGCAAGACGTCTCGTACAGTGCGTGGCCTTGCTTTGGCTTCTTCGTTGCCCATGGCTTTCCACCGACGTACGGTGGAGGTGCATCCATATCGCTAGTCTCCAGGTGCTTGGCCTCAACAAGTCGAAAACCCGAAAATTGGTAGAAGTGGGAACGGAAGTGATAGCGTGCATGGCGACTTAGCAGATTTCCGGTAGATGCAAACGATCCATTCTGGAAGACAGAGTGTTGACCATCGAAGCAGGGCGTGCTGAAATCTTCATAGTACGGATGAATTTTGAAACCTGGTAGGGCGCAGAAGTATCCTTCGCCCCACTCCCACACGTTGCCCAGTGTGTCATAGAAACCCTTTGAATTGGATTTCATGGCTTGCACGGGACTCTCAGAGCCGTAGGCTAGTTGCCCGTTGACGGAGAATTTGTCAGCGATGGTGTCACCACCAGCATTCACTACTGGGTCATCGTTGGATCCACCAAGGTCGGAGATGGCGTACATCTCCTGCTCAGCAGGCAGGCGGATGTTACCGGCAGGCAGGTTTCTCTTCTTACACAGCCAGTTAGCATACGCCTTGGCTTCGTAATAGTTGACGGATACCGGCCAATCCCAGGGCATCGGTAGAATGTCGAAAATCAGCCGGAGGTGATAGTGATGCAGCCCCGTCGGACCGTGAGGCACCCAGAAGGTGGGGAACTTGACATTGCGGTATGTACGCCATGCCCAGCCGTCGTCCGTCCACACCGACTGGTCAAAGTAGCCGCCGCTGCGAACAAACTCCCAGAACTCGCCGTTAGTGCAGAGTGTGTTTCCGGACTTGAACGGCTCCACGGTGAAGTCCCGACGCCCGTACTCATTGTCCCAGCCAAAACTCGGGAAATCATCAGGCTTGTGAATACTGATGCTCGTACTCGACACCGGGATCATCTCCGCTGGTTGGTAATCCTTGCCAGGAGTCGGTGTGTCGGAGCTGTTCTTTAGCACGCTAGGATGATACGCAGGCCACTGCACTGGTTGCTTCAGCACACTGACTGGCAGCTCTCGAATGAGCACCGATGATGTCTCAAAGTGGATGCGTTCATGCTCGAAGCCCATGAATATGGCCCAGGCTGGCTTGTCCTGGTTGAATGGCCGCTGTGAGTCGTCCAGTGCAGGGTGGCTCTTGATGAGGTCCACGATGATATTGTAGACCGTCTTGCGGTATTCCATGGTGTCCTGGACGGACGGCCACTGCATCTCGTTCTTGTCCATGTCGTCCCAGCTCATCTCATCCACGCCTGTCTCAAAGATCACTTCATACTCAGCATTGACTGCTTCTTTCAACAAGCCAGCTACACGGAACTTGTTCACATACAACGAGGCTGGATGAGCGTAGTAGAAGATCATCGGGTGCCGCAAGTTGTGATACGGTGGTCGGTAGAACGCTTCTTCACCCTGCAGGGATGAAAACAGCGTCTCTGTCAGCATCCACGTGTTCTGGAAGTACTCGAGAATCTGCTGGCGTGAGAATGTTGCTGCGTTGGCTTGCGGCAGTGAGAACACTGTGCCATCGCTGCGCACCCCGGGTACGCCTGGTACTGGCTTGACCCCGGACCACCAGCTGTCCTGGCGTTCACCAAACAGTTCGGAATCATTTCCCCGGCAGTTGCGCATCCAGCTCGGTTGGCATTCCGGATCGAACGGCGATGTCGGTGACACTGGCCCTGTGCTGCTGCTGCCGGTGCTGCTCGTACTGCTGCCACCGTTGCCGTTGAGAACCACGCCAGCCGAGTGAAGACCGAGGTTAGGGTTGCGACTTCCAGTCTGTTTCTTTACCGGCGGACCGCAGTGTGCCGTCTGTGTGCCGTTGGTACCGTGGCCGTTGCTGACACCATTGCTTGCTCCCTTCAAACATGTAATAAGAAGAAGTAGCACACACACGCACACAAAGAGGGAACACACGGAACAAACAAGCACACGCGCACACACACCCACGCTCACATGCACACCAGACAGCAGGGGGCAGAAGACGAGACATTCAAGTCAAGACTGCCATTTTCGCCGTTGTGCGGCGCAGTCTTGCCAACAGTGAGTCAGTCCCAAGATAGCTGCTACTCGCGATGCTTGACAGAGGCGCTTCTGCTTGCTTCAGTTGGTCCGGTTCACAGGTCGACAGAAGCAGTTGAGATCCCTGCCATTGCTAGTGCACTTTCTTGATGTAATGGGGCCCATTCTGCCGTACTGTGATATCACATACAGCTACCCAGTGGTATATCGCTGCAGCCTGGAGGAGTTGCCGAGAGCTGAGATCCCCTACTAGGGGCTTTTTGGATGCTTCTCTGTTCCCATCACCCCCACCCACCCCTCCCCACTGGAGGACACAAGGATCCCCCAACCACCCCTGGGGCGAGACCAGAACATAAGGTACAACACACACGCACCGCCAAAACGACACACATGCACCAGTACAACGCACAGAAATGCGCGTGCACAAACACACACACGGCAAGCACAAACACATACACACACAAACCGCTTTGTAAATCAAACTGACCAGAGCACCTCTCCTTTCCATACGTTTCCACCTTCACCCTCTTAAGCATACTTTTATGTATGTACAATTTTGGTTACTTTGGTCTTTTTGGAGAAGAGATATCCGCATGACAGGTGAGGACAATGAAAACTGATACATGTATTCCTATTCTTAGGTCTGACACAACAACAGCCAGTATTACAACATAATGATTATGGCCTTTCTATCCAGACATTGCCCTGTCCCCCCCCCACCGCCAGGCAAAGAAGGGAAACTAGGGGGAAATAGGCGAGTGGTTGGGCAGATGTGAGAGTGAGTTAGCATTACCAGAACCCCGCATTGTTCTGAAGGCGTTCTTTTCACCAAGGATGATCTGTGGGGGGGGGGGGGGGGATCACAGTGCCCAATCTGCTCACACCCAATCAAGTCTGACTATGTGTACCCCGTCATCAGTCCACTGTACTGGTAAGATCTTTCAACGGTCAGCTCTCACACTGGAATGTAGTATACACTGCATCTTTGCTGCGCGGGTGGCAGCTTCTGTCTGCCCTGGGCCATGGGAGGCAATGGCTAGAATGGTATGACACTCGCTTTCATGCAACCACTTTTAAAACATTGAGTGGACCCTCTCAAGACCAAGGGTGTGCTGCTTCTAGTGCAAACAGTTAAAAGGCTGCTGAGTAAGTGTTTACACCAAAGTCAATACAAAAGTCATCAGCATCACCATCAGCATCACCATCAGCATCATCATCAGCATCATCATCAGCCACATGTTGGTGGAGAACCTAGTCCTAGGTATATTCTAAGACCTAGGCGCCACGGGTATTAAAAGCTACATTTTGGCCCAATCTTAGAACCTTGCCGGCATGTCATGGAATGCTAAGATGAGTACATCTGCAAGACAAGGTATCTACAAGGCAATGCCGTTTTCTCCCAATCCTAAAGCGTATAGGCTAAACCTACCCAGCAGTATCTTGGGTACATGCAGTGTAGTGTAAGACTCTGCAGCCCCCCCCCCCCCCGAGCTGATCTATGTAGAACAGTGTTACTAGTTGTAACTTAGTAGTGGCCATGGGTCACCATGCTTGTTATTGCAACTACGCTGAGTGTGTGACTCACATTGACTGCCCTGGTGGATGCCATCCTCGTCAAATCACTGTACTTCTGCGCAACAACTGCAACCTGGGTAAGGACAAATAATCAGAAGATCCACCAGCAACACTTCAATGCTATTGCTTCGAGAATGCTCTTTCAGTACCACATACCACACCGCGTCTAATTGTGGCGTACAGCTCAATGGCACTGTCACTAGCCGTGAAACTAGTGTACCAGTATGTCAACAGTATGTCAGCATGCCGGGCTTGCTACTAGTAGTTTCTTCCTTTCAGTACCATTCAATCCCTTGACTGATTGCTTCCCGGGCAGCAGTTGAAGCTTCGCTTACCGGCTTGCATCAGCTAGCTGCTACAGGTCACAATGTAGGTGGTATGGCCGCCCCTTTCCTGCTGTAATCCTCCTCTTCCAAGCTTACAGTTGTAGCCGTTTTGTATGATCTGGATTGTCCTCTCTGCGTATATACATGTAGCTGCCGCACTTACTTTGCCATCCAGTGCACTTGAGCTGATGCTGCCACTCTTCTTCAAGTACACCAAGACAGCCCAGACTGGATCTCTAGTAATCTAGCTCCTTTCAGCAAGGCCTCATTCCCATACATTCTTTCCACTACCTCAACTTTTACTTTACCAGGGTGTGCGTTCTTGCAGATTGATTGGATGGAATTTATTGTGGCCACATCATCCGACTGCCAGGATCGTGCAGTAACTAGTTACCAGCCGGCACTGATGATTGTGGCAGCATGTTTACATTTCACACCACCAATCACAAACAAAGAAAGGTGTGCTACTGTCTGTGCTCAACACAGTGGGTTCATGTTTCTGTGTCTCAGTGTGCGGGTGGTAACCTTTGGTGATGGTGGTATGGATCTGGATACAAAGCTACACACTTCATGCCCGACTAGCATGCTAGCACGCATTGACTTAGCACAATAGCACATATGTACATGTATGCTGACAGGTTGTCGCATGTTTTGGTGCGCCGTGTGCTGACAAGTTTGACAGAATTAGAACAGGAGTGACTCCAGCAGTGTGCGATGCTCATGTTCTTCTGCTGGTGCTAGACATAGCAGTGGATGTGATACATGGTGAAACAGAGTAACTTCCATGTAACACTGATGCCACAATGTCACAATAGACTTGGCCCATGCCATGGTGCACAGCTATCACAAGATCCACAGCCATGGCCCATGGCGTGTTACAACTCACAAGTACCTCACCCGTGATGTGACTAATTACTCCTGAAGTATGGAGTTTTAACTCAGTGTGATTTAAAAATCACAATACAATGTATTTGTCAATCAAATCCTAAACGTTTGAGATATTCAGTATGTGCTCCTGTTGCTGTGCTAGTTGTGCCGGGTGAACAGGGGAGGGGGCAGGACTGATCAGTCACAGCAGAGACCAACTTCCCAGGTCAGTACTCAATCAGAAGGCTACAGCCTAGTACTGTAGAAGTACACCGGGAGGTAACAACAACCTGTCCTTCCATTCTCAGTCTTTGCCCTAGTAGTACAGGAGGTAACAACAACCTGTCCTTCCATTCTCAGTCTTTGCCGCTTACTCTCCCCCTTGGCCTTGGACTTGGTTTCCTGCAAAAGTCTTGGTAACATGCTGTATGTATGTGTACGTGACATACTAGTAGTACTTTGAAATAGTAGACTGAGTAGTAGCAGCAGTTCTAGACTTCTAGACTTCTAGAGTTTCATTGGATTAGACTATTTCAAATATTCTTTTTGATTTCATGGGCGAGTTTCATCTCTTGTATCTTTGGTGTTCTTCCTTCTTTCCATGTCGTATTGATTGAATAAACCCGTTTTTGCAGCAGCAGTTCTACCTCTTATTAATTAATTATTTTATACTTCGAGTTCGAAGTAGTCATGTACTACATTGTTCATTTTGTTGTCTGGGTCTAGGCACCGGCGGATTATGCCGGCATAATTATTGGCATAATTTGATGGTTGAAAATTTGGAGCATAATTTGGCATCCTCTCGGAGGTAGGAGCATAACTACACGAATATAGCACAGTTCTAGTATATAGGCTATACCATTGTGTACAATGCACCTGATCAGTGCTGGTGGTCTGCATGGCAAGGGGTTTGGAGGTCATGCAGATAGTGTTTTCAATGAAAAGCAGGGTAGAAATCATGGCAATACATTATTGTATGCTCGAACTCGTCTTCTTCAAAGTTCTTTCTCACACTGACACAGTACATGTAGCAGAAGATGCGAGTGAATTGATCTGGTGGACACAAACCAGTTATACTTAGCAAAGTGTTTGGGAGCCAGGTCTAATAAGATCATGTGTACAAGGATGCAAAGATGTTGCTGGTGTCGCAATAAGAGGGGAGATACTGAAGCTAAACTGTAGAGACGTTGGGAGGAGAATGTTTGATCTTTGCGAAACAGGATGTATAGATGATGTTCGGTCATGATGGAAGGAGACGTGGAGCTAGGGAGAGATGAGCTGATTATTCGCAGGGTGAGGCCCATGGTGACATCGGATGGACGAGTATGATGATTACGAAGACAGTTGAACATGATAATTTTTAAAGGTAACTCAAACTAATTAAGCAATGAAATAATATTTGTACTGAAGTACAAAAGAAATCAAGTTATGAATAGAAGAAGTATTGTTTTCTCTTTTCCATGTTGACCTCTTACATGCATGGACACCTTGCCCTTGGTATGGGGATACTCATGTACATGTATTTTCTTGTACTTATGGCCACTTGCAACTTGCAAGTATGAAAAAAGGCACAATTTCCCGCACTTTGAGGTTCCATAAGTACAACAAAGTGAATATATATCCCCGGGTGCCAAAGCATAATATGAGGATTTGACGAGCATAATGCGAGAATCCATGAAAGCATAATTCCTTGATTTCGCGAGCATAATCCGCCGTTGCCTATCTGGGTCCGTTGACACAGACTCAGTGTCAGTGACAGGTACTGCTAGTACAGTAATATTAGTATTACTATTAGTAGGTAGATCGAGCATACTGCTAGCATAGGCATGACGTCTTTGTAGTGATAAGCAAAGAGGCACGTGCCTCTTGAAACGAAGTTAGGGATCACGCGATATTTCCATTGATGTGCGAGGGCATGCGGCCATGCAGAAAAGGTCAATGCACGCTTCGTGCTCGTGTTGAACATGTCAGATCAGATGCATGCAGATCAGATCAACAGTGCGCGTGCATGCAGTCGAGTCCGCGATCCGGCATGAATGCATTCAAGCAGTGCATGCAGTCTTGCAGGTAGATCTGCGTCAACCACGAACATTTTTTTCTCTGGCCCCTCACCATGCTCACTGCGTCAGGTCTTCACTGTGAGTTTGAGTGTGACTTGCCCAGCGATAGCGCACGTAGACGTGCAGAGCTAGTGTCGGTAGTTTTAGTGCACTCTCTACCTGCGAGCGGTATCAGAATCAATAACAAATCCGCCAACAGTGCAAATAGCTTTTGGGTCAAGTTTTTGGAGGTCGCAGGTCGCAAGCGAGGACAGCTTTTCACTTGTCGTTACACGCCTCTACTGCTCCAGTCACTGTAATAATGTACACACTTTACTTCTCTTGTTGGCTGTGCATATCCTCCACCCCCTGGTCAGACATAGGTCAGGATATCCTGCTACAAAAGGAAAACTAGTTTGACTCCCGGAACATACATGTGCCGCAGTGTATGCTGCGACCGTGACACTCGTCCCTCGCACGCCCCATTTGCTATTTTGAGTCAACCGGAGAAATGGTTGCCCACAATCATCCACTACAAACTAGCTTTGTACTCCTGAAGATTGATCATTTGGCCGAAATTGCAGAACACATTCACGAAGTACTTTCACTCTTGGACTTCGATGCTGGAGTTGCTGCGACATACAATGGAGCACGAGCGTCAGGAGGTCATCAAACCCCACACTTTGAAAGGCACAACTGCATGATATGCTACCATGCAGAACATACACGCACTGCTGCTGCATTTTCCCCTCTCTCCGGTCAACAAAATTAGCTCCAGAAAGCATGACTAACGGCATGGTTTTGGCTGGCAAAACGGAAATGTCCGCAATCCTAAGGCCAAGAGAAAGGAGCGAGATCTTGATCTCTGCCTACCTGGATTGCGGTGGCTAGACGTTTCACGCGCACCTATCTGAACCAACTTGCCTCAGCTGGGACGAACGTCCGTCAAGTAACGTTTCGTCTAATCAGACGAGCAGCCGGCCCCGCCTCAGTGCTGTGCGCTGCTCAGCCACTGAACCAGCAGCGATGAAGATGGTGATGATAAATGCGGGTGCAGACTTGCGACTCAATGTAAAAACTGGACAAATCGCTGGCAATCTATCTGATCTAGTCAATACACGGGCCAGCTGTTGGACGCTGCTTTTCGTTTCTACTAAACTACAGCAAAGCAAGATGTGGCAAAGTCACAGAACATCAGAAGGTCAGCGTTCGTTTCGAATAGGGTACCGAGGTCTACAACTGCATCTGCGTGCTTTCTCTTACAACTGTCTGGTGTTGCGGGTAGCCTACGGCTAAGGTCATAAGTAAGGAGACTGAGGTCAGTATCCACGGCACTGCTAGCCCTTGGAAACTCTCACTCAGAGTCTCAGTTGATCATCATAGTGCAGGGGAAAATCAGGAGTCTGCTGGCTCTTTTATACCGCTTGTATCGGGCGAGGGTCCAGGGCAGGTGTGCAGGGAGGACGTGACAGTCATGTACTTGGTCGTGATTGATGAAGCCACAGTGCGCAGCATGTCGAGCTGCCGGAGATCCGGGGCCTGCATAGCAAAGTAATTATTAGTTATGTCTATGACTATGAGCTATTGTACTCGTAGACAGTACATGCTTGTACTGTCTGTATTCAACTAATGATTACCGGTATGTCATGTAGATCTACCACCAGCCTTTATTATGGGTCAGATTATGTCGATCACAGTCGATCGACATTTTTCTGAAGTAAAGACTGTAGTGCCAGTAGTGGTTACAGCCAGGGCCAGAAGTCACGGACACCGCCCGTAGGTCTACACCATGCCATGATGCATGGATATGGGTAGATTCTACACGACGTGTACAAGTCATGTACAGTCATCATGGTCATGTAGATCTACATGATGACTGTATACATGTATGTAGCGACCTTGGCGACCTGGCCTGCCACCGTAGCTGCCAGTGCCTGAGCAGAGCTCTTTCGCCGCCTCAATTCCTAGTGAAAGATGGTCGTGAACAGAAACTTTCCGTTTTTGTTACTAAGTAAAAGGAAAGTCTTTACCTCCTCTCCTTGCTGAGAGCACATGGTTTGCAGTCATGTAGACTCGACTCCAAGTACAGGACAATTAAAATGATGGCTGAGCAAAAGCGTGAAGCGTGGTCTACTACCGAGAGTCTTGTGTAGATATTGTAATTATTATTTGTATGGTCTATTCTGTCACATGTTGTGGTTTACGTCCCAGTTTAATTAAACCAAGAGTACATACTCCCGGATCCCCTCGCCCTGGGGCCGAAATAGGTACTGGGATTACCCATTCTTTCAACGCACACAGCCCTTGGCTACACAAACCAAATAAAAATAAAAAAACACCTCAGCTCCAAATCTCTTCAAATGCTTTCCATATTTTCGCGCAAGAGGGCATCACAGAAGTCACATTATCCCTGAAAATGACCTCTTAGGCGAATATCTGGAGAGCATTTTGAAGGATTTGGGGAGGGTTTTCTTTCCCGTTTTTTTCCTTTTCTGTTGTGTAGCCAAGGACTTGGTGCGGCTGTGTGCGCTGAAAGTTCGCATCATGCCTAGGCTACAGCGGAGTTACGCCATTCTCATTTGCACATGACATTGTACCCAAATTGTAATGGCACTACCACAGTATGTAACAGTGCCTGAAATAAAATAAAAAAAATTATCGTATCCGTTCCCGAAGGGAACTCACGACGGCCGTTAACACCCGATAAACCCTAGCGGCAGATGCAGCGCCCAACGGTGGGGGTGAGTGGGTAAGTCTCACAACCACTGGCACAAATGCCGAAAACGACCCCATTTAGCTGCATCCATGCTGAAGCGTCATGTTACGAAGGTTTTATTTAAATTTATTATCGGAGATGTCACGGACATACATGTACATGTACATGTATTTTAGAGAAAGTGACATGACGCTTCAGCTGATTCTGTTTATTGCCATCCTAAAACTTTTGTCACCTCGCCGCCTGTTCAAATAAAAAGCTGAAATATTCATATAATGTACATGTACCTGACTGTAGATGTTAGGAATCCTGTATTGGCCGGTACCTGGTACCGCTGGGACTCGGTCATCGATACCTTTTCTTCCTTGGAATGGCTATTGCACACGTCATTTCTGGGTGTGGCTTAGTACTTCAGTAAGCTACATTTTGGTTTGTTTACCAAAGTTTGTTGGTACAGTCGACCTTGCGAATAGCAGCCCTCGTGCAAGAGAAACTGTCGTTCTAAAGAGGTTGACTGAAGTCCATGATCCATGGTAGTCCGCGACTCCCAGTGCGAAGCTGTCAGTCTTGTGCCAGGTATGCTTCTAGAGTTTCTGGAGTTGGATGTGATTGCGTAACCCAGAACATGCCAGTCATCACCCTCCACATATTACCAGGTACCAGGGAGTCGCATAAACCCTTATACTACTCCCTGATTATTACTAGATCGATATGTACATGTACATTGTATTCCATGAATGCCATGTAATTAGATTACCGGTATTTTAGTATTAGATTTGCAGTTTGTCTATCAGGACCTACATGTACACTGCAATAGGCACGTGGAGCGTCTGACAAGAATGACTGCGGATTTGCAGCTGTAGGCGGCTGCCGTTTCTGAAAGGAAGCATGCGTTGCATTTTAGGAGATCATCTTCTAATCTACCTTGATTATATATAGTACAGTGTGACACCATGATATGAATTTTATATCGAAGTTTCTTGAAAGTTGAAGGAAGCTGATTCATGCAGCTGCTGCTACTATTACTTGGCCACCGCGTTTGGATGGAGCTGGAGCCCATCAGAACCAAGACGGTACTACAGTGTAGCGCGATTAGAGACCTCTCTTGATACTGTAGCAAGAGTACATAACATGGTCATGGGAGTTACACACAAAAGACACAAATAAAAGGAGGCCTGCAGACTGTGTTCGCCGCGAGTCCGAATCTCCCGCACAATACAATCATCAGGCGACTTGAGTGCATTGTGCAGGACACTCCGGGTTGCGGCGAACTCTGTAGGCCTCCGTTGTACCTTGTGTGTGTAATAGTGCTCCACGTTATTGTGTTGAGCCCTCTCCGCTGGTTAGCTACAGGAAAATGTCCTCCTTGTAATGTCACAGATGCTATAGTAACATGGGTGTATGCACTCTTGATAGTAGGTACTGTACTCTGTCTCTGAGAGCCAATGGAAAAAATAAATCCCTCCGGTGTGTAGATGGAGGCGCTAATGTGTGGCGCGCGGTTAAAGTTGCGCTAATGTGAGAGCACAAGGTTACATTATCGTTTCGGCTTGTCATAGTTCGTCTTCGCTTAGCTTCCACTTTCTATGTACAATACAGGTAAATGTACATAAACTTGAGCCTCCCAAGTTGGGTGGTCTGTTGCTTTGCGTCGTCGAGTTGTTGTTAGATAGGCCGGTTTGCCCAATAGTCTTACCAGTTTCGTCATCATCCAGTAACATTCCGTATCATAGTAAGTGTGGGACGTTGCACTTTCCTTCCCTCATTGGACCTTTCCTAACCTGAGCCTTCCAAGTAACACGTTAGTTGGAAAGTAAGTTGTTGGTTTGAACCTCGTAGACGTAGTGGAGCCAGAGAGTCCCCTGATTGGAGATATAATAATTATTATGGTAAGTATTGGGTGTACATACATGTATTTATACAATCTTGGTAGTTTTGTTGTTGAACTGTTCTAGTAATAATAATTGTACAATCATGTACAAGCGCAGGTATGGGGTCGTTGAATGTCTCAGTACTCCCTGTCAGCTTTATGAAATCATGCCTTGTTGTCGCACTCGCTAACTGGATATGACATGGTTTCTTTGGTGGGCGGCTTGTCATAACTCGTATCATGTTTGTCCTTCATTTTATCCCCGATTACATTGGCTTACCATTCCGAGGGCAATTATTGAATACATTTGTTGAGATTGGCCCAAATCTTCGACAGTATCACGTTCACACTTTTGCCATGTTTTGGTTAGTTTGTATGTTAGTTCTCCCAATGACTTTGATTGTGTTCGTGCAAAGACAGTGTTTGACAGACGCTCGCCGGTAGAGGCTCCCATGGCGCATGGCCAGGGTGACCAACCCGATGGTTTTGTACGTCTGGTAGTCTTAGCCTAAACTGTCCGTGACACATGTTGTGACCTTGGCCATGATCTGGTCACAAACGCACGGGCACACCTACTACTACTAGTACATCACACATGTACTCTACTACATTGTAGTCGTAGCTGCCCTAGACTCCTGCACGATCCCACTTGACAGTAAGCAAGGCGGACTGATATCCTCAGGGCATCACTGGTGCACACACGCCCAATTCACTTGTCAACACCTCGAACAAGACAGTGTCAGGCTGCGAGGAGCTAGAGATCTAGAGCTTTCCAGCTGGACAACTAGCTGTCATTATCCTCATCGACCAATATCGACCCTAGAGTACTTGATAGACACGAATGGATGCAGCTGACAGGTTAATGTTCATTAATTCCCGCATTGCAATGCCTGGAAGGCACACGTGCGCAACAATTCAATCATACGCTCAGCCTTGGGCTTGGGTTGCTATTACAACCTGTCACCAGAGTGCCAGTTATCTCGCACCTGACTCGGCTTCGCCTCGGTTTTCACTCAGGTACATGTAACAGTTAGATTGTATGTACATGATTGTATTACTACTAGTATTACTATTTAAATAGCCATAAATCCTCCATCTCAACCAATCATAATAATTTTTATACTCTTGAGTCTTGGTAATCACTACATTCTAATATCTACTAGAATGTAGTATTACCAAGACTATACATGTAATAATTATTATAAGCTCCCTGGGAGCTTATAATATGTATTCTCTTGGTCACTTGAACTGAACACTGGAACAGTGGAAGCACGAGAATAGTGCTCCAGCTCTGCAGGATACAGACAGTGCTAGTATGGGTCAATAGATTCGATCTATTCTACGCCATAGCATAATCATAGCAACAAACATCATCTTCAGCATCATCACTAGTATCAGGGAGTCGTAAAATATGGCATTTTAATACGACTCCCTGATACTAGTAATCACACTGTAGTTTGTGCATGTACGTGTAGTACAGTCACTAGACACTAGCGGTGGATTGTGGGGCAGCCGTTTTGAGCGCACCTTAAAATGCTGCACCTCTTTCCCCTGTCTATCGAAATCATGAGAATGAAAAGAAATTGCGTTATTATGGCGGTGGAGAGCGCGTGAGGTACGTCGAGCAGGTGCCATTTGTTCCGGCGGTGAGGCTTCAGTCGTGCGGCGGCGGCTTCGTACAAGCGTAGACCTACAGCAAGCCTGCGCTCAGAAAAACAATCCGAGCCTTACAGCCATGCCATCGCTTTCATTCGGTGCAGGGTTTCGTTTGCTCTGCTGCGTTCTTGCATTTCTTGTTTGCGTTGTTCTCGTGTTAGGCAT